AGATCTGATTTTGATGAGAGTTGAAAATCGCCAAATAATCTGTTCGACCGAAGACATCTAACGTGCCACTGTTGTAGACATGCTTTAGGACTCTCTGAAATTATTGTTTCAGAAACTAGTGAACTGACAGCGGTATAGAACTGATGCTTGATGCTATAGGTTACATATTAATTTTCACACCATGAACTTGTTACACGTTTGCCACATCAAGTTACAATTCAGATTATTACGATGTGTATAAGAAGATAAGTCGAACCACACGATCATGTACATCTCTAGAAGTGGACAGGATATGGTTACTAATATAGACGTGCCATGAGACCTTATATGTGGCGTTCTTTGTCAAGTCTGTGTTTCATTAGCCACGTTTTACCAATAACGTCAAAGCGATCTGACCGAGGGAACGTATTACTCTGAACTAAGTGTAGGGACGAGAATATATGGATGTCAACTTCTTTATTATGAGGAACACAACGTTTCAGAGTATATGCTTAAATCATCAGGTGAATGAATGCCATAAGGCAGAGGGCATATATATGTACAGGTAAGGACAACCAAACAAATAAGATAACAAAAGATGGAAAACAAAGGGTAGAAACTAACAAGGGAAGCCAACAGATGATAGGTGATAAGCAATGGACAATGGAAGCCAACACTTTACAGTAATTAGCGCTGATGGTGTGGAAGTACTTAAGTTAGCATAGATGAGTAATAGGTAAGGGACACTGGGCAAACGAAAGGCCGGGTGTAATTAGCACTGATAGGTGAAAGAATGGACATAGCAAAGGGCAAGTTGAAGGCAGCTAGGTAATTAGCACCGACAAAGATCAAAGCAAGGTGTCTCCTGATGTCAATGACTTCTTGTAGTTGTTGGTTGTTGGTAGACTTTGTTGGCTTCCCACTTGATGTTATGGTTTGGTAGACAGGACTTTGATGGCTTCCAACATGATGTTATGTGTATCACTTCTAAATGCCTTTCAAAAACCTGAAAGTGTGTCGTTAATTGTTTCTCAGTGGTTAAACATTCGCTGCTAACCGGACCCAGGACTGACTATGATTGACTTGCAGATGCCCACAATGAAAATTCACAATCCATGAGCTTTAGGGTGACATGAGGTGAAATCTGGTTTAACGTCGTGGCCAAGATTATTGCACTCATATAGCGACGTACATGCACGTGTGTGTGTGTGTGTGTGTGGCTGCTTGCACCAGTCCGGAATAATGCCGATTGTATAGTGCTAGCATGAATACTCAACTCAGACACAGTATACTGACCCCGAGCCGACATTCCTTGCTTTAGCCCCTTAATGCCGAGCGCCAGGCAGGGTAAAAAGAAGTAACATCTTTTAACGTCGAACCACGGACCTGCCGACCACCACCAGACCACGGAGGTGGTCTTTTGTTCGCCACCACGCCATGGAAATAGTCCTTGTTTCTTGTCGTATACCACAATCAGCAGTATTCTACTTATATCACGGCGGCATGAAATAATCGAGTCGGGATCAGGCAAACCAGTGGTTGATATCATGAGAACACCGTCGATATACGATGACACACATTCAAACAAAGTCACCGAAAGTACGATATGCTTGGGACCTATTCTAACCCTGGTCCCGATGGGCGTGTCTGTTTACTAAAGGGAGTCACTCAAGCAGTAATTTCATATTGAAATGGACGTTCTGAAACGAGTCAGTTTAATTTCCACGTACTCAAAGTTTTTAACATTGCATACTGCAATCACGTGACTGCATACACACGGGACACTACAGATGATGAATTAACTTCTCCGTCTTGAGAGTATCACAATACCAGTGGTTGGTGCAATGGTGATCATACTCCCGATTTCAATGCAACCTAAAGATGTGAACAACATGATGTATTATGCACAAAGTAAATATTTGCCACTGTTATGGCACCTACAAAATCAAGCAGGCAAACCGTAACTGATTGTGTCAATGCCGCCCCCATCCCCTTCCCCATTCCTGAAGAATGTATACTTGAGTGACTGAATGCTCGAATGTCCTTTTGCGCCAACGTAACTAATATTGTAGTTTATCATGACTGCCTGTAAATATCCAATATTAACCCAGGCAGTGAGCAATGATCTGCGCTGTCGGGAAATGAAGATGCACAATCGTCAAGGTCACACAATGTAACATCCCATCAACAGGCACACAATTACCCAGGTCACACAATGTAACCATCCCATCAACTAAAACACAATCACCCTGGTCACACAATGTAACATCCCATCAACTGACACACAATCATTCAAGCCACACAATGTAACCATCCCATCAACTAAAACACAATCACCCTGGTCACACAATGTAACATCCCATCAACTGACACACAATCATTCAAGCCACACAATGTAACCATCTCACCAACTAAAACACAATCACCCAGGTCACACAATGTAACATCCCATCAACTGAAACACAGTCACCCAGGTCACACAATGTAACCATCTCACCAACTAAAACACAATCACCCTGGTCACACAATGTAATATCCCATCAACTGACACACAATCATTCAAGCCACACAATGTAACCATCCCATCAACTAAAACACAATCACCCTGGTCACACAATGCAACATCCCATCAACTGACACACAATCACCCAGGTCACACAATGTAACATCCCATCAACTAAAACACAATAACCAGGTCACACAATGTAAGATCCCATCAACTAAAACACAATCACCCAGGTCGCACAATGTAACCATCCCATCAACTAAAACACAATCACCCAGGTCACACAATGTAACCATCCCATCTCAACTAAAACAAAATCACTGGGTCACAGAATGTAACATCCCACCAACTAAAACACAATCACCCAGGTCACACAATGTAACATCCCATCAACTAAAACACAATCACCTGGGTCACACAATGTAACATCCCATCAACTAAAACACAATCGCCCAGGTCACACAATGTAACCATCCCATCAACTAAAACACAATCACCCAGGTCACACAATGTAACATCCCATCAACTGAAACACAGTCACCCAGGTCACACAATGTAACCATCCCACCAACTAAAACACAATCACCCTGGTCACACAATGTAACATCCCATCAACTGACACACAATCATTCAAGCCACACAATGTAACCATCCCATCAACTAAAACACAATCACCCTGGTCACACAATGTAACATCCCATCAACTGACACACAATCATTCAAGCCACACAATGTAACCATCCCACCAACTAAAACACAGTCACCAGGTCACACAATGTAACCACCCCATTCACACTTCAGTAACCTCTTACAAGCAGAGGGATAAAAGGATGCATGTTGCCCTCAACTGCCCACATAGACATGTTGAAAGTCAGTAAGTGGATGTTAACCCCTGTCAGCAATCTTCCAGCTATATCACAGGTGCCTGAAAATAAGCAAGTCTTGACCAAACCAACTAGCGACAGGTCATTTACCACAAGCCCATCATCATGGTATAACATGAAGCAAGAGCAACAACGCCTGACCACCTGTCTCTACTTTCATCTCCTCTTGTGACAAACGTGGGCAATGGGTTCCTTTTCTAACACGAAGTCCCCACACGTGTTATTTATTATTAATTATTTACATTCAGGGAGATGTTGTTTGTTTGTTGTTTAATGCAGCACTCAGCAATATTCCAGCTATAAGATGGAGGTCTGTAAATAATCGAGTCTGGACCAGACAATCCAGTGATTGATATCATGAGCATCAATCCATGCAATTGGGAAACGATGACATGCATCAACCAAGTCAAGGAGCCACTAGATCCTTTTAGTTATCTCTTACAACAAGCATAGTCGCCTTTTACAGCAAGCATGGGTTGTTGAAGTCCTATTCTACCCCAGATCTTCACAGGTCTCAGGGAGATGTATCACTCTTTCTTCAGTTCCTGATCTCCCAAGTGAGTTCCTGAATGTTTGTTTGATGCCACAACCAGCAGTATTTAAAGGGCAAGTTCACACGGAAATGAACCTATTTTTCTTGTACTTTTTCCACATTAAAAGTGTTAACCTAGAAGTGTCAAAGACAAAAATATAAAAATATCACAATTAATTAACATATTTTTCGCATTAAATCGATTTATATTTTTCACATTAACCAAGTGTTCTATTTCCACAACAAAAACACCATGGCTTATGCCCCTTGCAATATGACGTCATTGGTGCCAATTGATAAACATTATGACGTCATCATGCTTTGTTTAGAGCCGCTTCACGTGGTGTAGGTACAGGTGTGTGATTCTAGCGTCTCAGATGCCAGCCAGCATAGTGTTATGCTGAGTCACCACTGCGCCGGAATGTGTCGTAGGCCATGTTGTTTTACCGCAAACTGGTACTTGATATCTTTTGCGTTGAGAATAGACAGGGACCCACTTGAATTGGCACCAATTACGTCATAATCTAAGGGGGATAACTCAGGCCTGTTTAGCTCGAAAAACGAAGGCCTCATAACGGCATATCATTTTCTCACTATTGTGAGCTTCCTACTTTCACTGTGAAAAAAATGAGTGTATATTTTCAAATACAGATACTAATTAATTCTAAAATTGCGTTTTGTTTAGAAAAAGATAAAAAGTGATTTTTGCGTGTACACTTCCCCTTTAAGCTACATGACGGCGGCCTGTAAATAATCGACCCTGAATCAGAAAATACTGTGATTGATATCATCAAGATCTCACGTCATCGGGTTCTGATTCAATGACATGCAATCAACCAAGTCGATGAGGACCACCTGATCTATTAAGTCATCTTCATGACTAGCATAGTTGGCTGGGGATTAAGTCTAACCCAAATCCCCATTAGGTAACGTTACCCCAGTAAGCAATATTACAGCTATATCAAAGGGCCTCTAAATATTTGAATGAGGTGTTATTTGTCCTTTTTTCAGAATGACCATTTAACCCCATGGCTAAGCCAAACACAATAAAAACAAACATGTTGCACTTCTGCATCATGATAGTGAGCCAAAACAATTCTTTGCAAGTACTTCCATTGTTTTAATTTCATATCTCAAAGATTTTACAACCCAAGCAATGTACATCATAACAAATTGCATTGAAAAATAGCTAATATATCTTACCACTGTACACCAACACTTTAGTGATACCGAGATACTTCAGTACCATCAAAACTACACTGACCTTTAAAGCTGCAACAAGAGAATATATTCCAGGGTCCCAAAGCATGAAATAGGGAGAAGGCTTCACAAAGTGAATCACTTGTGCCCAATCCCTTTGTCTTTTTGGGCAATAAAATATGTTTCAAACAAATAAAGCATCTAATTCTTGGAGTAAATTAGAAGCAGCAATCATTGAAAGGACAATACATGGAAATTCAAAAGGCTCAATTTTGATTGTTTTCGTATTTCATTTCTGAACATTTATGTCCAAATCAAACAAATAAAAACTGACTGTATCAAATTTGGCATCAACAAAAAATGCAGTGTTACAAAAAGTATAAATAGCTGAATCCATAGATATGATGTAGATCTCTCTCTTATGAAAATATAATGCATTTTACATACACACTACATCAAAGATACAATATATACCATATCAATCATGACAGGGGTAAGTACAAAATGTAAGTACAATTAGATAACTCTTGTAACTTGCATCTGTCAAAAATGCCAACACTGACGTCCAAGTCAAGCAGGTTATGAGTTGAAATTGCAAACCATATACTCTTCAAAAGAAAAAGGAGGATATAATATCGAAGTAATATATAAAATAATAATTCATTACTGGTATTTCTTATTCATGTTACAAATGTTAGATGTCATAAATATTGTATTTCATCTGTTGTGAAATAGCAGCATCATTGTCAGAAGAAATAACCTACCTGCAATGATTAGTACTTGAGTAATTATAGTTTGTATAGTATAGTTATAGAGTCCAGCATGTAATAGTGTATAGCAGAATCATTTTCAAATGTGTGTTCCCATTTCCATCATTTCAGCCTATCAAAAATTTGGGCAAGTAGGTTCGATTATTTTACTGATTTTTACTTCCTCCTTTTAAAATTATCTTTTTAGGCTGTACTTTTGTAAAAGCCTGATTTCCAATAAAGATAATGACTAGTCTATCTATAGTGAAGCACAACAAAATTACGCTTGTGGCATAAAGTATGGACAATACCGTCATTGGTGATTAAAACCAAGGTGCAACTCGAAAAGCGAGAAAAAAGGCTAAGGGTCAAAGGCCGGATTAGGGTCAGTCGAGAAACCGGAAACCCACATATTTTGGGTGGGGGAGACATTACCATATATGGGCATCTTAATCTAAGCTTTCTAGACCGAATACAATTTGACTAGACTCTGGCTTCGGACTAGCCAACTCTGCTGACTGCTAACTATAAAATCCAGTCTCTAGTATAACCCTTACCTACACATTAGTTTAGAGTGTTGCATATGTCTGAACAAGTTGAACCAACTAAAAATCACATTCTTTCAGTAATCCAACATATCAAGTGTCACCCATCTATATTTGATTGATTTCAATGTAAGCAACTAGCCTTTTTAGGGAAAAAATATCTTAGCATGCGTTTCAAAATAAATTGAATTTGTGTGTCATGGCCCACTATTCTTCCACTAAACAGTTCAACATCGACCTATATACAGGGACGGATGTACCGGGAGAAACACAGGAACAGAGGTAAAGGAACAATTTGTACATTTCAAATACATGTCGTACTTCAATCTTTGATAACAGCAACAACAACTACCTTGAACAATAACTTCATAAGAACTCTGAATTGAAATAGTCAACAAATTGAAATCTTAAGTTTTTAAAATATGAACCATCACTGTATCTCATTAATGTCATTGAATATTCAAGAAAAAACAGCAGATAACACATAATTGTCAGTGTCATCAAGTTTAACAGTTAATAAATTGCATTTACCATATACTGCTTAACAAAGTTAAGATCAATGTATTTGGAATTCTTCATTTTATGAATAATTCAGATGGAATTATATTACCCGTAAATCATTTTTTTCATTTAACATGTTTAATAACCATTACATATTTCTTAGTTTCCCTAAACAGGTAAAGTGTCTTTGACACTTTTCACCAACATAAACATTTCTACAACATAAACAGTTACAAGTCAATGCCTATCTATATCAGTATGATCAAAGTTGAACTAACGTTTGAAGCCGCAGATACAGAAGCTCACCTTCAAATACTGAGTAAAGTTATCTTTTTCATCTCTGATAACTGGTGTGTATTTTAAAAACGAAAATGCTACTTCAATAAAGCTAAAGATGATATAAACCTTTGCTTTAACTTTAAGAACTAATATATCCAACAGTTAGACAGACAGACAGTGCCACGAAGGCATGTATTCAAACAGTTCAATGAGTGAGTGAGTGAGTATGGTTTTACGCCGCTTTTAGCAATATTCCAGCAATATCACGACGGGGGACACCAGAAATGGGCTTCACACATTGTAACCATGTCGGGAATTGAACCCAGGTCTTCAGTGTGACGAGCGAATGCTAGGTTACCCGACCGCCCCACATTTTCATATGAAAGTTTACACTGTTGTGGCCAAGAATACAAAGCACAGAAAATGTTCAGAAAATATAACAAGGGAGATTCTCAGTATATATAATAGGTCTGAAAAAGAGATTCAAGCACAGAGCTTCGGGACAAACCATTTCATATTCCTGGGAGGGGGGTTAGGGTGTTTTTTTTAAAAATAATGATAGTTTGTTTCGGATTATATTGTGAAAAAATATTTTTGCCCTGGTTCTACCCCCTTGCTTGGATGTCCTGAAATAAATGGGGGGTAAAACATAACATTGTCTGGCTCCTCTTTTCAAAGAAGAAACTGCATGTTTTAAATCATTGACCCCCCAAAAATATCCTGTCTCCCCTCTCCAGATAACTAGATGTTGGTCCCTGACAGGTTGAAGGCTAACTAAAGGATGAAGACCTATAACAACAAAGTAAACATCAACAATATCAAAATCAGCTGAAGAAATAATATGATCTCCTTTAATGTTACTTAATCTCTTAGCATGGTCTCTGCTCTCCATTCCTTATCATTTTGATAAAATTCTATTTTTCTTCATAACTGCACAATTCAAGTCTATTCTTGTAGTATTTCAAGCTTATTTTAAAGTTTAACAACTCTTTTTATAAACATGATGAAATTCCAGTAATCATCTAGGAAATATTTTCTGTTTATCAAATTAAAGTATTTTCTTAAACCTACTTATATGTGTCAATATATGTTTAACACTGAGCAGTTTCATTCAGGCACCTGGTAGTGTCAAATCCTACCCTAACAGTACTGGCCACTCATAGCTTTTGTAGATGAGCAGATTAAAAGGGTATGAATTAATGTCAACTCAAGTGAAATGTAAATTTTTCAAAGTAGAGATAACAAAGTGAGGCTTAACATATTGTGCTTATCTTAAGAATTACACACAGGTGTTCCTCACAACGAGCTCACACATATATGAATGAAAACGCCTCTCTTGGAAATGACAGTAACAAAAGCAAACTGTTTTTGTTTTCTGAAGTTACTTTTCAATGTATTGCTTATGAAAAACCAAATAACACACAAAGGATGTCATCGTGATATTGATGTATCGGTGGTAAATTTTTAATGTTGATGCTATATCAATACAAATTTATGATTATTAGTACTAAATAAGTAATTCACTCCAAATGAAATGTTTACTTTTATAAAGATTGCCATGATTAAGATGGACAATGAAAAGGCAGAACATTAATTCAAGTCAAAACATGTAATGGATCAAGCGAGTTCATATTTGGCTTTGATTATTAATGATTAATTGCAGGTCTACATAGGTAATTTTCATCTATACACATACCGAATAACTATTTTTTTTATTAAATGATGTATTGATATATTATTGCAATAACTTTGGGTCGATATACTGATACTAAATTTTTTTATCAATGACACCCCTACAGAAGACATGATTGACCATGAATGAGCATGACCAGAGTCAAGTTATATTATATTGATAGTACAATTATACCTGCTTTTTATCATCCCTTATGATAATCATAATCATAGGTTGAAACAGACTAAGTAACCTCTAGCTTCAGCAGCTGTAACATACTGTACCCTGATCTCTGTGTATTCAACTCCTCATTCACAACCAATGAAAAGTTTGTACAACAATTTTTTTACGAGTTTGAAAGCACCATTACACAAGCACACAAAGTATCACACCTCACATGTAAACAAACGTCATCAGAGATAACACTTTTCTCACACAGTCGTCCTGGTCAGAATATATGACATCATTATCCGGGTGTGAATATTAGCACATCTGTAGGCATACACATCCATGGAAAGCACGGCTCTCGATCATTGATTTTTCGATAGTCCACTTGTTAGCGACAGGATCGTAGCACTCGACAACGTTACTTGGTTTTCCATCCACCTGTCCTCCTGTCACATAGATATTCTCATTTAACACAACAGCTGAACAATGTAGATGGCAATGCTGCATGTCGGGCAGGCGCCGGAATGTCCGTTTCAGAGGATTTAGGGCAATCACTTTCTTTGAGTCTTCCCATATGATGTAGAAGATTCCGTGCAAGGAAACAATTTCTGAGAACTGGATACTTTCTGGTAGAATAAATTGCTCCCCTGCAGGTTTGACAAGATCTTTGGCGCACAGGTAACTGTCCATTGTTTTCACCCTGGCGTCTCCTTGCAATCCCCCGACTTCAACCAGTGTGTTGTTGTGGGCCACGATCTGTGACTCGCGTCTTGGAAAGTTGGCTTCCCCTACCTTGGTCCAGCAGTTCTTGTACGGGTCGTAGCGTTCGATAATGTCCACAGGGACATTGTTGCCATCAGTTATTCCTCCGATGACGTACAGATAGTCATCTAGCACAGCTGACGCATGGTGGGCACGAGGTTTGTGCATGGACTCAACTTGATGCCACGTTCTTTTGACAACATCAAACTTCCACACGTGAGGCACAATATGACCATCCAGAATCCCACCGGTAACAATGATAGAGTTGTTCACTGCCCCTACACAAAACCAAGACATTGCTTTTGGAAAATCAGGCAGAGGCATCCACTTATTCTTTTGTAAGTCATACATTTCTACACTTTTAGTAATGTAGCTGTTGATTCCGCCAACTACGACTAGCACCTCCTTGGCAACGGTTGATGGTCTTGGGTGGATCTGGGCATTCTGCATGCTGCGTCTACGGCGCCCATGTTGGTCGATGATAGATTCGTGTTGTTCCATGGCATCATGTACCATTTCCAAACACTTTTCATTGCCTCTGATGAGGGGATCTTTTTCCATTGACTGTAGTGTACTGATATCTAACACGGGCAAACGTAAATGTTCAAGCAAATGAGGCAGTTGAACTTGTCTTTCATCCAAATCATATTTGATCCACCTCAAGGCAGCATCTAGTACAGTTTCCTCTGTTCTCACATCTATCAAATCACTTGAAACATAGGTGATAACCCGATCTACAGGTTGGTCCAAGAATTCATCACATTCTACAACACAACTGAAATTTTCCAGAGTGAACTTGTTTGACTGTTCTTGTAACTGTTTACAGTCCTCTCCATGAAGAAGAGCGAGGGCTTCTATTCCTAAACAGTTAGACTGATGCAATTGTTTTTGCAAAAACTCACAACAAGCTCCAACAATGTCTGGATACTGGAAATGACCACCAGCTGCCAACATCTCTTCAGCATTTTCTACTGTTATTTCCAACCGCCCACTGTAAGCATAGTCAATGACCCTCTTCAAAGTCCATGGTGAAACGTCATTGAATGGGATCCTTGCCTCCCTACTTTCTTTCAAATCACTTGTAAACATGGCGCGGAAATAAGGACTGCTTACTGCCAAGACATTTCGATGACAGGGAAACTCTTCCTGTCCGACACACAATATGGCATCAGTGAAGGCACCCTCGCCCCTGAAAGCATTAAGTCGGGTGAGTAGTTCCAGGCCATAGTTTTGCTTGTTAAACAGCATGTAGCTCGTCTGTTGTCCCTCCATGGACGCCTCGCTTCCTCGTCTCGCCATATCTACCTTGGCAATGGGCCGCTCTCCCGGTTTCATACCAACGTGTGTATTAGAATTCGATCCGCCGTTCGCCGTGGGCACCTTGGAGAGAGGTGTTCAATAGCTTAATCACCACAATAATAAAATCGGAAGCGTTACCGCCTGTACTTTGAACCTGTCACATTCAAGTCAGTTGTATCCAAATCAATGCCTTTGTGCCTGTGATCAGTCCGTTACACTAAGCCCTATGCTAAACCGTCTGCTGCGTAGAAAATGTTTTGTGTATGAGCGTTCATATAGCTATCATGCAAAACTCTATGCCACAGTGTGAAGCAAGAGGCCAAGATAGACAATGACGAGGTAGCCAAGCGTATGATTCCACTCACATAACCGTCAGATTACGCCGTAACCAAATACACGTGAGTCCGTCACCATGCCCTTCTAACCTTAGCAGCCATCTTTTCATGCAGCAGAAAATCCCTCTGACGTCAGAGTGACGTCACTGGGAATTCCCCCTCGTATTTGGCGTGGGAATAATAAACAAGCAAATTCTAGCTCATCCTTCGCGAGCATTCTATAAATAACAGATCAGTGCCAACAAATGATTTATACGCACAACGCATAAAGATCGTTGATACATTAAGCATGTTTTGTGGAAGTCAGATGTGCACAGGCTTTTGATAAAATCTTGGATCGTGGTAACACCCGTTCGTCTTATTTTGGCGATCGATCATGTGTCTAAACCTACTCAAGTGCTTTTCGATGTTCAAGTCTTTCATCTTCTTTCTGCATTAGGAAAGAAATATCAATTATGTAACAAAGGCCTTGGGCAATATTTACACATGTAAACATCCGTACATTATAATGCGAAGAACATGTGAACGTCGGCGGCAGAATATCCCATCAAGGCTGTCAAAGGCGATGAAGTGGCGGCCATGCAAATAATTCGGCCACTGGCGGCACAATAATTTCATTATATTAACTTTAATATCAAACATTATTCAACCAACGTACTGTATAATAGCATTAACTTGAAATTAACGCGATTATCTTCGTTCTTTTTTATGTTTAAACTAATAAACGTAGTTTGCCATATTTCTAGAAATACCAACGGATTATGCATATGCGAGTTCTAATTGTTACTCCCATTTATTAAGGAATTAATGGTTTTCTGTAAAACCTATGACTCACACGCGACAAATCAGCATTAACCTCCAAGCTCATAACAATAAAAACGATGGTACGTAAATTTCTATCGACTGTTCTTTTATTTTTGTTCAAACTTTGCCCCTACTATACAAACTAGCCCCTTAGATAATATTTATACTCTTGTTTAATTCATTGAAACGAAACCGAGTCAGTGAGTGAATAGTGTTTTACTTCCCCCAATAATATTGCACAATAATACTTTAAGGCAAAAGTAACTCCGATCATGTTCTCATTTTTTATATAAAAAAGTGTCTTTGTGTTAGAAGATCAAAAGAGTTCTATATAGTCAGTTAATGGGGTTGAAGAACGACCCCAAAGGGGTTTTAAATTGAATCAAATTCGAAACTTAAAATTATGCCCTGTATTTTTTAAATATCTTTAACGCAAGCTTTTAAAAGGCAAAATGTTGTATATTTCATTCGTAATTAGAAACATACATCAGTTTAAAAGAGGAAGAACGTATCATCATCATAAGTGGTTTGTGGTGAATATAAAGACGACTGACCAATCTGCATAGCCTATAAATACTCCACCGTATCGTAATTACTATAAATGTTCAGTTATCAGCATAATTAAATTAATAGTTCTTCTTACAATTGAGAACACACGTCATTGCAAATAGCGCTGTCAATGTTTTGTTTGTTGTTTAACGCTGCACTCAGCAATATTCCAGCTATATGGCGGCGGTCTGTAAGTAATCGAGTCTGGACCAGGCCAGGCATGCCAGTGATTGACATCATGAGCTTGATCCAAGCAATTGGGATCGATGACATGCATCAACTAAGTCAGCGTGCCTGACCACCCGATCCCGTTAGTCGCCTCTTACAACATAGTCGCGCGCTGTCAATGAAAGCACTTTGGTTTAAAATGATATAATATATAATTGTCCACAGAATGAATAACAAAACAAAATGATGGACCCCGTTAGCAAAATTGTGTTTGTTGTATATTTTCACACACTCCGTGACATTCACTTTAGCATTCGTGAAAGGATTTGATGCCGTGTATCCCTATACCATGTAGATATTCATCTTCCATTTAATATTTTCCAAATATTATATGAAACTGAAAATACTTAACACAAAAAAACAAGACCCGTCCAGTCTCCTCTGTGAAACGCGTTCGTTTCAGATTAACATACCTCTGTCAAAGTGTGTGCAGTGTGTGACCCTTTAGGGTTTGACGAACAGAGTGTTTCTCACAAATACATCCTTTTCAATTAATGCTGTAATGTGTTATGCAAGATTTATACGCTAAAAACTCACTCAGTTTCACACGTAGATACACTGGGAAGTGCGTTAATCCGGTAATAAGGTGTCATCTAGTCATGTGGAAGTTGGCGTAAAATATTTTTTTTCATATTTTGACAAGTAAATTAAAGCACGTAATATAATGTCGACTATTTAAGAAACTTTTTAAGATGCACAATAATTTAGTCATTTTTTTTAGTAACATCTCACTTATACTTAGCGATATTCCGGCTATAAGATGGGGCCTGTAAATAGTCGAGTTGACGATCATGACCAGAAAATTCAGTGATTGAAATTGTTCTCAGCATACTACCAAGCGGGGTTAGTCTTTCCATTGTTACGCCTCTATAACAATGCAATACAAGGAAAGGTTGCTCGAGAGACGGTAGTTTTTTTCGAAAACCAAGAATTTCAACAAGTTAGTGAGTATGGTTTTACGTCACAATATTCAAGCAACATCACGGCGAGGGACATAAGAAATTGAACCCGGGCACTCGGTGTGAGAACGAACCCCCGAATTCCTATCAGCTATTTATTTATTAGTCGAATGATTCGACTTAAACGTGACATACACATGTTGGTTACCATGTATAATTTGTATACAATGACAACGAAAAGGATATAATTTTGATATAGGAGAGCAAATAACATTCGCGGCGAATAAACGTGTACGGTATGACCGGATAGTAAAGTTGTACAGAATCATAGTGGTGCGGTAATATTTTACGCATGCTTCAGTTAACTCGTTTGCTGGGGTTGTTCATGATTTAAATGATATCTTAATGTTTTTTAATATAACAAAAATATTTACTCCATCTCATAGAAAAAGAATTATCGCTGCGATTTTGAAGTCAAATGTAACAATAAAGTCAGTCGCTGCTGACACGCCAACATCACACTTATAGTATACTACACAAAAAAGGAGGGCGTATGTAAATTGATATACATATAGGAAAGACAAAAGCACAAACGATATTTGAATGTCAGTTGCTACCAAATTAATAATATTAAAATGAATAGGTTCATAACGCGCTCGCGAGCGTGTGGGGGTATCAGTTAGCATCAACGTAACGGATAGGTTATGCCACACCTATCGGTACCAACATCATAGTAACGTCACATGAATATACAGTGCGGAATCGGCCTCAGGGCCAGACAGCCTGAGTGGTTTTGACGCAGCAGCATCGTCGGTTGCAACGTCAGTAGTGTCAAGAACGCAGAGTGCGGCGTAACCAGCGAGTCCAAATGTACATCGAGCTGATGGGAGTGCAAGGGTGTTCCGACGTCGCCATGAACGTTTTGCCCAAACTGACGGTTGATAACTTTGCAGCGTCAGGGTAATGTGGTCGGAAATCCCTTCACTGGTCGACCAGACAATCAAGAGATCGACATCATGAGCACCGATCTCAGCAATTGTGATACGATGACATGCATCAAACAAGTCAGCAAGTCTGACCACCTGATCTCGTTAGTCGCCTCTTGCGACAAACATGGTTTGCTGAAGAATTCTAACAAGAATATTCATTTAGTATTCACGCTGGTGTTCTTTCATTGTCCCACAAACGTGAATGAAATTGTTTAAATTAAGTTTCCTAAACAATTGTCAGATATGAATGGTGCTTGAGTTCTGATGGCACCTATGGCAAGATGTACTGCACATTGTAAGTGATAACGTGAGTTGTGAAACCCCTGCCTAGTCTACCCCAGACACATCCTGCATTTAAATGTAAATCATCCACGATTATCATGGGTATTTTATCTCCATTCTATTATGATACCTACCCTGGACCCATTTCCTATATGGCCTGGTTGACTGCTATTCAAATTAAATCAGGCTTAAAAAAAGAAAAGCGACCCAATTAAATAATTCATGAGCTAGAGAAATTCTGTGCTACTTCATGAGAAATGTTGACCTCAATTTCAAATGAAAAATAGTGTTAATGGATCCAGGGTATTTATTGTGATAGTATGTTGACAATAACGTGGATAATCAATGATGGATTTACCAGACTTTTTAAATCACAATCTGCTGTATCTTATCAGCGCTAGACTGAAGGTGATGGTAAAACAACCACCTAGATCTATCATGAACAGACTCATTATCTAACACCAGTCATGTAGTGGAGTATCAAACATTTATACACAAGACTGACCAAAAATGCTGATCAGTTGCTGTTAAATATTAACATGCAGTGCCTGAAACTGTTGAAACACATTGATACACGTCAAATATGTCACATTTATTCACAAATACACATGATATTGTATGATACAACATTAAAAAGGCATGTAAATGATTATGGATGAATATGGTAAATCTGTCCAGTCTCATAATGGAACATTCTGATCACAAACTGGGCACTGGATTTTAACAAAAATAGGAAATGCTGTCCAAAAAAATAAACCTTAGTGTTAGTTTTAAGGTCAAGAAACCTGCAGTATATATGATATATTGTGAGTGAGGAAGAGAATTTATGAGTGAGTTGGGTTTAATGCCGCTTTTAACTATTGCAGTTATATCACAGCGTGTCACCCTTAATGTGGGAGGAAAGCCCGAATTGATGTAGGTCGCAAACCTTTACCACTTCAGTGAAACCCATGAGCATGGGTATGGTGCTGACAAACCTAGAAACATAATCGGGGAGACCGGGATTCGAACCCACAATCATAAGTTTCTGGTGTGCCCAAGGGACGCAACCCTGCACAGCAAATAGAGAATTTATGGATGTCAACTTCTTTTTTATGAGGTTGAAGTTGACATCCATAAATTCTCTTCCTTATGTGTATCCCTTCTAAATGCCTTCAAAGTCTTGTGAGTTGTGTTTTACGCTGCTTTGAACAATATATCAGCTTGAACTGGAAGGAAAGCCCAAAGTGATGCAGGTCTAAGACGTTTACCACTTCGGTGAAAACCATGAGCACGTTATGAAGCATGCAAACCAAGAAACATTATCCTGGCGAATCAGATTCGAATCCATGAAAAAAGGCTTCTGCCATGCCTATGGACAACTCTGCACAGCAAATTGTGGCATTTTAGACAACTTGGTCACCTGTGCCCCAATACCACATCCAAAGATAAATGATAGATAAATGATAGATTAAGGCTTAATAAAGCACCATTTACATTCCTACAGAAACACAGTAAGTGATAAAATCCAGTGTCCAGCGAGTGCTTCAGAGCTGCAGCCAATGGACATGATGTAGGCAGGTAAATAAAAACCACAATACATGCACAAAAACCTTCCACTATTCCAATTAAAAACTTATAAAATGCTATAAAATAATTCTGTGTACGTGTTTACATTTAGTCATTACCTATGACTGGGCATATTTCACAATTTACTTAGCACTTTGTAAAAACAGTTTCAAATATATGAAATTGAAAATGGATGATTCTCAACCTGTCTTTCTTTGCAACAAAAATCAAATGGAATTACAGCACAAACATTACAGTTTTGAATAATTCATGCAACAAGCTAACATTCGAACAGAAGGAAATAAAAACAGTACAGGATAACTTCTACTCAGGCAAATACATGTGGACACATCCATCACACATAATCATGATGGATCACTAGAGTCATTAATCAACATGTCTAACTCCTCTCATCCTCTTTAAGCGTGGCAAGTACATCTCCCTTAATGATTTCTGTGGATGCAACTTTCTCTTCGTCCAATTCCACATTAACCCATTCACCACTAAATCTCTGAGATAGCCGATTAAGATTCTGGGGTCTCTGTGAGCTGTCCCTAACTCTTTTGACGATAGAATTTTCAGACTTCGTACTGTCACTTGATTGCGAATCTCCATCACTGGACTCAGAGTCTGTAGTGTTTGTTTGAGCAGTGTTGGTAGTTGTAAAGTTTGAAGCTGCAGCAGAATATACACTGCTGTCACTGTCACTGTCACTGTCACTGTCACAGACTTCGACTGTGTTGTAGTTTGTGTCGTCATCAAGAAGTTGTTCGTCACCCGTCTTGTAATCTTCATCATCCACGCTGTCATTATCCTCTTCATCTGATATCACACTCTGCAACAGACGAAAATGTGATGAATAATCATAATTTCAATTGCACATGACACAAGGGCTGTTACAATACACTTCGTCACCATACATCTCGGTAGCATGGTAGACAGATACATGGAAAACTGACACTTGTCATGTTAAATGCTTAGGGAAACTTATTCGTCATCACTGCATGGCAAAAAATACCCTAGTCAATTAGAAGAATTGTCAATAAAATAGTGGCTCTAGGCCTCTTGTACTTAGTGGCAGAAAATAGCCTTAACAAATGATGTTCATTCAATAATGTCACACATATATACTACCAAACATACGATAGGGATGTTCTGATTGTCTGAATAGGGGATAAGGTGAGGTGAAATGGGGTTTAACGTCGCATCCAAGATTATTGCACTTATATAGCGACGTGCATGCACGTGTATGTGTGTCCGAATGGGGGATAAATCTGCATGGATGTCAGTATACTAACAGGATGCAATTTGGTCATGGAACTGATGCATGTTACAGGGATAGAAACTAACAGTTTTAGTCCACTAGTCCTTATAATGACCTTAAAAATGGCACATTTCTACTAGTCCTTATGATACCTTAACTATTGGGCAGTTTGGCAAGGACTATAGGACTAGTGCCAATTTCTAACGCTGATGTTAGGGTTTATTTTAAGTAATAAACAAAAGTAAACACATGAGCATCGTTTAACAAGAGTTCAGCAATATTGCAAACTGTGTTGCATAGGTTAAACAGTGGGTGTTTATGTCGAGACACTGAATGGGAAGAAGTAATTCTTTGTTGCATAGTTCACATCTCCCAAAGCGACGACAAAAAGTTGACTCAAATCCTGAAAGGGATACTGTGTGAGCAAACTCTTATGAAACTCGTAAGACAATGTAAATAAATGTTTACTTTTATATATTTGTCAGTTGTGTACAAACAGTAACACCACTTTGGGCTGCCGCTAACCATGCTAACAGATGTTTGATGTTGCTAGTAGATAGTTTGTTGGCACATGTGTTCTGAGATTGCTCATTTCTCCTGCATATTTCACCATAACATTACAGCGATGACATATTGACGTCTTGAACTTTTGAAAGTTTTTCAACCAAATTAGTGACATATCAGCTTTATCCTCTTGTTACTTTGCCTTTCAAGAGACTCAGCTACCATTTGTAAGCATAGTAATGCTTAATCATGAGAGGCTATTTAACAATGACAATAGCAGAGCGCACTGGAAGTATTCGTCTGATGTACTGTACCAAGAATATTTGAAACGATTTCATTATTGATAAACCATAAAGAAATACTTATTTACAGAAATTTCTCAATATACTCACTCATTCAGACTGTATCACAATACATATTTTGGAGTTTTGTATAATGGTTTACCGTTAGCACCGTGCAAGACCTTTCTTCTGTAAGGTATGTACAGTATTGTAATTACCGGTAAGCATTATATGACCTGAATAAAAGCATGACACCTGGTATAATATTACATACCCCTCTTCAATTCAGACTCAACAAATGCAACTCTTTCAGATGACATACCTGCAAAATGCCTGAGAGGTACTCTGCTTTACTGGCCAAGTCGGACAGTTTTTCATTTTCTTCTTTCAAGCTGTCCACTTCTTTGTGCAGCTAAACACAAAATTAATCTTGTGAGAAATAGTACTACAAATTAGTGCATCTGTGTACACTGTTATACAATTACAGTGATTACAAACACAAAGGCTCACTGAAACAATGGAACGTCTTAGGTGCCAGTGAAGGACAAGATTGTTTGTTTGTATGTTTGTTGTTTAACGCCGCACTCAACAATATTCCAGCCATATGACGGCGTTCTGTAAATAATCGAGTCTGGAGCAGACAATCCAGTGATTGACATGAGCATCGATCTATGCAATTTTGATATGATGACATGCATCAACCAAGTCTGCGAGCCTAACCACCCGATCCTGTTAGTTGCCTCTTACGACAAGCAGTCGCTTTTTACGTCAAGCATGGGATGCTGAAGACCTATTCTACCCTGTATCTTCATGGGTCAGGACAAGATTGATGGGGAACACCTTTGTATATGTGAATTTCATGGTAGGTCTAGGTTTGATTTGTTGAAACATGATTGCTTCCAACATGTCGAATGGCTTTCATTTGTTTTCCAAATAGCTCGACATATTAATGTAGCACCTGTACCATGCTTACCTGTTCATTTTCCTCAAGGGTATCATTCAAAGCACTTCTTCTTTCTTCTGCCAAGAGTTTCCAGTAATTCTCCGGGACATGATCTGGAAAAGCAGATTGTGTAAATATTTTAAAATGAATTATTTGTCTATTTTATTCAAATCAGATCTTTTAATCAGATATGCTATCTCTCTGCTATAGATCCGAGGACAAATCGATAGAAGCTTACATCAGGTGAACCCTGAATCAGCTTTGCCCAATTGAAATGAAGGGTGAATTTGTAAACCAATCAGATGGTCCTCATCAGCTGACTGTACTAATGGACCAAACAATTTTACTCTACACTGGCATTGACCAAGTGCCTGAACTTTCTAAGCCACAGACTCGATTAACCTTGCACCAAACCATGGCTACGGCTTGTTTCAACTAAAGTAGGCTGTGTCTCAGATTTTGCAGATTCTGCTCCACTGAACACTGCCACATGCAATGTCAGTGGAGGTGACAGCTCACATGTACAGCTGTTCTGGACCCCTGCGTTTTCATCACAGACACAAGGACTCCAGTTTACAAGTTCAATTGTTATCAATATCATGGTTAAAGACTCATTGCCAAACACGCTAGAGCTTGGAAGTAATGCTTCTTACAGCTTTGGCATCAACCAAACCTTGAACTCCGAATGAAACACTAAAACATTTCAGTTTTTCTTAATTTAAAAGGGTCATGGGTTCTTTAAATGCTTGAGGTTTGCAGTAAATTAAAACCTTTGATTAATTCTTGTTAATAACAAAGCAATCATCAAATTATTTGTCAATCTCTTTCAGATCTTTTAATCGGACATGTCAGTATGGTTTTATGCCACTTTAAGCAATATTTCGGCAATATCATGGCAGGGGACACCAGAAATGGGCTTCACACATTATACCCACGTTGGGAATCAAACCCGGACCTTCGATGTGACAAGCAAACACTTTAACCAATAGGCTACCCTACCACCCCAGATCTTTCAAACGGATATGATATCTCTCTGCATGAAGATCTGAGGACAACTTAATAGAAGATACCATCAGGTTAACCCCGAGTGAACTGTGCCCAATCTAAATGACGGGTGAATTTGTAAACCAATCAGCTGACTGTACTAATGGACCAAACAATTTAACTCCACTCTGGCTGCTGGCATTGACCAAGTGCCTGAACTTGCTAAGTCTCCGACTTGATTAACCCTGCACCGAACCATGGCTACGGCTTGTTTCAACTAAAGTAGGTTGTGTCTCAGATTTTGCAGATTCTGCTCCACTGAACACTGCCACATGCAATGTCAGTGGAGGTGACAGCTCACATGTACAGCTGTTCTGGACCCCTGCGTTTTCATCACAGACACAAGGACTCCAGTTTACAAGTTCAATAGTTATCAATATCATGGTTAAAGACTCATTGCTAGAGCTTGGAAGTAATGCTTCTTACAGCTTTGGCATCAACCAAACGTTGAACTCAGAATGAAACACTAAAACATTTCAGTTTTTCTTAATTTAAAAGGGTCATGGGGTTCTTTAAATGCTTGAGGTTTGCAGTAAATTAAACCTTTGATTAATTCTTGTTAATAACAAAGCAATCATCAAATTATTTGTCAATCTTTAGTTCTTTTAATCGGACATGCGAGTATGGTTTTATGCCACTTTTGGCAATATTTCAGCAGGGGTCACCAGAAATGGGCTTTACACATTATATCTACGCTGGGAAACAAACCCAGACCTTCGTTATGACAAGCAAATACTTTAACCAATAGGCTACCCTACCATCCCAGATCTTTCAAACGGATATTATATCTCTCTGCATGAAGATCCGAGGACAACTCAATAGAGGATACCATCAGGTAAACCCCGAGTGAACTGTGCCCAATCTAAATGACGGGTGAATTTGTAAACCAATCAGATGGTCCTCATCAGCTGACTGTACTAATGGACCAAACAATTTTACTCTACACTGGCATTGACCAAGTGCCTGTACTTTCTAAGTCACAGACTTGATTAACCCTGCACCAAACCATGGCTACTGCTTGTTTCAACTAAAGTAGGCTGTGTCTCAGATATTGCAGATTCTGCTCCACTGAAGACTGCCACATGCAATGTCAGTGGAGGTGACAGCTCACATGTACAGCTGTTCTGGACCCCTGCGTTTTCATCACAGACACATACGATGGGATCATATCCCATGTTTCCTTGGTTCTTAGCTTTATATCATGGTTGAAAACTTACTGTTACTTACTGAAAACATGCTAAAGCACCCAACTAATGCTTCTTACAGTTTTTGAACTGAATGAAACACTAAACAATTTCCAGTTTTTCAAATTAACGAGGGTCATAGGGCCCTTGAGATGATTGAGGTTTGCAGCTATTGCTTCAGTGATCTAAAATAGAATCTAGGGACCCGCAAATGTTTTGATATTACATAAGGGTTATAAGAACAACCCACTGAGTTTCATCATTAATCTTGAACGCTATCTACATACAATCGTGTAACAGATGTTATGCAGAGCACTAAGTCGCTAAATGTCAGTCTCTATCAAACACTGCATCAGGACAAGCCACAAGACTTAATAATAAGTTTGTAACTTCATACAGAAGCAAACTGTAGTATTTGTTTTGTACTCCAACCTTACCTCCACTCATGAGCTCTAAAGCCTCCCGGTCAGCCTCAGCAAGGTCATCAAGTTCGTCTCCATTGTCGCCATGATCTTCATCTATTTCTGTCTGTGTTGCTCGAGTTTCCAAGGGTACAAATGTCGATGGCTTTTCATCTTCAAATACCTTAACTCTTTCATTTGACGGTTTGATCTTCTTTTTGTTTTTGCCAGTCTGAAAGCGAAAGTATTATATATATACTATGTTGTGAACTATGAAGATAATCGCGAGTAACATTAATTGGGCAGCACAACATTGTGACAGGACAATCATTTCCATTCATGAACAGGATTAGATACAGCATATAGATGTACAGCATATAGATGTATATCTTAAAATAAAAACTATTTTCAAAAGACTATCAGTAAAATGCCAGAGACTGACATCCAACTACATGATGTCAGCTTCTTTAATTGTAACAAAGACTTAAATATTTGAAGGTTGAGAATTTATCTGCAGTCAAAGTCATCAATACTATACTAACTTACTTCATAGACTTGAATACACTGTACCTACATCAGGACCGAACTAGTGAAATTTCAATATGTTGACACAATTAGGACTACAGTAGATCTGTATGTATGTAAAATAGGAAAACGTAAACATTTTCATCTATGTTTTTCCAATACGACTCAAGTATGTTAGTGCATACATCATTTCTGTTAATTCCTTTTCCGCTGAGACTTTTTTCGCCAATTGCCGACAACTGCAAGGTCTGTAATGTTTTTCTTTGGGTCTTTTCCTGGAATAAAAGAGCATTAGCAATGACAACACGCCATTCTTTCAAGATGTTGCTAGGCGATAGTCATTGGTACAGACATGCATTAGGCCTACGCAATGCAGGGTTTCATCTCATTACGAAATATTTGAAATGCTTCAGGTTATATTACAACTCTTATTCTATGATAAGATCACGCCCATAACTCTTATTCTATGATAAGATCAAGCCCATGATGCTATGGGATATCATACTATTAATTAAGATGTTGCTTGCTGGTGTTGTCTTCTTTCGAAAATAGTTTGTGCCGAATGGACTCAAAACGTTCGACGACAGACATCAAAGGAAACATGAAGTAGGTATTTCTTATTGAATTGGTCATGCTGTAAAACATATCTATAACATAAAACAGCATACCGTTGTTCCTTCTTTAAATTGTTTGCCAGGTCTTATAGCATTTTCAAGAGAATTCACAGAGATTGCCTTTGTCGCCATGTTGAAACTCCCGCAGTTTTCGAGCGCCACCTGGAGTTGAATGATTGAACTAGCTCGTGCTGCTTGAGGTGACCGTGAAAAATATATATAGCCCAAGAAAAGCCTCGATGTGAAACGGGAACCTGTCTCTGATTTGCATATTCGTCACATGACACAGTTGTCATCCAATGTGTGATGTGAGAATGATGTTATACCCAAACATTTTTGTTTCGTTGTTTCTAATATTCTAATTATGTAGTTTGTCGACTTTGATGTAAGACTGATTTTAAAGTCCAAACATTTAAGTTTTGTATAAATAACGACGCGAAAAAACATAAATATAAATATGTGTAACATTCCAATTATATAGTTTGGGAAATTTGAAGATACATGTTGTACAGTTTTTTAAGTTCTGAGATAATTTGAATTCGAATGTTAGAGAGTTTCAGTATCAAAATAAAATCCGCACATTAGTTTGATGAAAGTTTGTTTGTTTTTGTTTTTGTTGTTGTTGTTTTTGTTTTTTGTTGTTGTTGTTTAACACCGCTCAGTAATATTCTAGCTTTATGACTGCGGTTTGTAAATGATCGATTCGGGACCAGACAATACAGTGATTGATATCCTAAGTATCGATCCACGCAAAAGGGATACGATGACATGTATCAACCAAGTCAGCGAGCCTGACCACCCGATCCTGTTAGTCGTCTCTTCCGACAGGCATGGGTTGCTGAAGACCTATTCTAACCTGGACCGTCACGGGTCAGTATGATGTATAGGTGCAAGTATCAGTTCCATCAGTTACTTTAATATTAATGAAACATTATTGATAAGTATTAATATTTGTTTAATAACCGCTAAATACAGCTGATGATGTGCTTCACGAACTGTAATTATAAACCTATTCATCGGGATCGCTATTAAGTAAGAGACTTCTTTCTGTAGGCATTAAAACCTATTGTGAGGTTTTACTTTCCAGTCGTGTTAAATCTCATAAACAGGGACGTTGTAATGTCCCTGGGATTTTATATAATGTCCTGGGTGTTTTATAAATATAACTTCCGTTCAGATTGTAACATGTAATGAAATGTAAAATCAAATGTTAAATGTTTTCTTTATATTCCCGAGGATCGAACTCGCAACCTTCATAACTGTAACCCAGTGAGTGTAACACGAAGCTACAGAGGTGTTGATAAGCCTCACTGGTTTTTAGAATGTCCTTTTCAAGATCCGTACGCCAGCAACAGATATTTTACACGCGTTTCCTAAGGTTCATGGAAAGTATGTTCGAAACATAAAAATGTTGATAAATGTTGTTTTAAGTTTCTTTTTTCGGTTTATAAGCATGGAAAAACACTTTCCCTCGGTTTTGGTAGACAGAGCATGCCCTGGGGGTCGGGAAAAACCGCGGGGGCTTGGTTTTTCCCTCTCCCCAGGGCATGCTCTGTCTACCAAAACCTCGTGAGCGGGTTTTCTCCAATACATAAAACTATAGTGTAATAAATGCCCCTGGCTATTTTCCGACCCAGAAACCGACCAACCCTTATTTTGTTGTGTAACTTGATGAATGTCCAAACGCGTATTAGCCCATCGATTGTTTATTGCTGTTACTCACGTGTGACTACTTCTGGAAACAACTCCATTGTACATTGTCTTACTCAAGAATAACAATAATGATCTTTACCCCTGTAAATTATTGTGACATTAATACCCTTCTACATTCGAGCGCCAAGTCCGATGCGGCTGCATGCATAAGCTCTCGTAAATCTTCAATTATAAGTGTATAAGTATAGAATAAAAGTACACAATAAGTATATATTTATAGCCAGCACGGATACTGTTATGTAGAAAAGGAGGAGTGCGTTTTGGGATTTTGCATTTTTTAAGTAATTGTGTTATTATGTTGAAAATATTTGAAAATGAGTTTACTTTCAACATACCCGATCACCTTTATAAAGCTTCCTGGTATGTATGAATGTTTAGAAAAAGGGATGTGCACGCACACACCCACAACCACTCTCCTTCTGGATCCGTGTATGCAGGAGTAGGAATGACTGCCTAAACACAAACATATATATACAGATTGCTTAGGCTAAACAAAGAAAATGTTCCAAGGTATGGGCGCCCACTTCAAATGTTGCCCGTCATTTTCTTTTCTATTGCTAATAAACCAAATATTTAATCATATTTCCATAAAAGGAAGGCAAACGTTCTCCGTTTGTATCAAAGAACCGAGTTCAACGTCATTCGTCACCACTCGGATCTTTCCGTAACCTATACGATGGTCTGCTTGTCCCGGAATGGCACGAGTTGGTCACGAATGTGTGGCCAGTTGTTTGTTCGCATTCTTGGTGGGAATACAGAAGATACGTGTTCCTTGCTCATCGCTTTTTTTAAATATGCGCCCGACATTGTAAGGCAGAAAGCGATCTCATCAACGTTTGAGAGAAGAAACAGTCATGCAAGCACTGCTACTGCAAGTGCAACTTGGTGGGGTGAAATGGGGTTTAACGTTGCGTTAAGATAATTGCCCTTATATAGCGATGTGAGTTAAGTTTTACTTTTAGTGTGTGTGTGTGTGTGTGTGTGTGTGTGTGTGTGTGTGTGTGTGTGTCTGCTTGTTTTAGTCCGGACTAATGTCGGTTTTAAAGTGCTAGTCCATATGCTTGTTTAACGTGGTTACCCCAGTCCTTGTTTTATATCCCGTTGATGCCGAGCGCTAGGCAGGGTAACAACAAGTAGAATCTTTCCATATATTTTTGTATATCATGACCAGCGGATCGAACCGCCAACCTTCCGCTCCGGGCAAAAATATATATAACCCAAGAAAAGCCTCGATGTGAAACGGGAACCTGTCTCTGATTTGCATATTCGTCACATGACACAGTTGTCGCCCAATGTGTGATGTGAGAATGATGTTATACCCAAACATTTTTGTTTCGTTGTTTCTAATATTCTAATTACGTAGTTTGTCGACTTTAAATGTAAGACTGATTTTAAAGTCCAAACATTTAAGTTTTGTATAAATAACGACGCGAAAAAACATAAATATAAATATGTGTAACATTCCAATTATATAGTTTGGGAAATTTGAAGATAGTACAGTTTTTTAAGTTCTGAGATAATTTGAATTCGAATGTTAGAGAGTTTCAGTATCAAAATAAAATCCGCACATTAGTTTGATGAAGGTTTGTTTTTGTTTTGTTTTTGTTTTGTTTTTTGTTGTTGTTGTTGTTGTTGTTGTTGTTTAACACCGCTCAGTAATATTCTAGCTTTATGACTGAGGTTTGTAAATAATCGAGTCGGGACCAGACAACCCAGTGATTGATATCCTAAGCATCGATCCACGCAAATGGGATACGATGACATGTATCAACCAAGTCAGCGAGCCTGACCACCCGATCCTGTTAGTCGTCTCTTCCGACAGGCATGGGTTGCTGAAGACCTATTCTAACCTGGACCGTCACGGGTCAGTGTGATGCAGGTGCAAGTATCAGTTCCATCAGTTACTTTAATATCAATGAAACATTATTGATAAGTATATCTATTGTTTAATAACCGCTAAATACAGCTGATGATGTGCTTCACGAACTGTAAATAAAACTATAGTGTAATGAATGCCCCTGGCTATTTCCAGGAACCGACCAACCCTTACTTTGTTGTGTAACTTGATGAATGTCCAAACACGTATTAGCCCATCGATTGTTTATTGCTGTTCACGTGTGGCTATTTTCCATTTCTGGAAACAACTACATTGTACATTGTCTTACTCAAGAATAACAATAATGATCTTTACCCCTGTAAAGAATTGTGACATTAATACCCTTCTACATTCGAGCGCAAAGAGTCCGGTGCGGCTGCATAAGCTCTCGTAAATCTTCAATTATAAGTGATATATGCCATATGGTCCACATTACCGAATAAATCTGTCTGAATTATAAGTGTATAAGTATAGAATAAATATTTAATCATATTTCCACAAAAGGAAGACAAACGTTCTCCGTTTGTATCAAAGAACCGAGTTCAATGTCATTCGTCACCACTCGGATCTTTCCGTAACCTATACGATGGTCTGCTTGTCCCGGAATGGCACGAGTTGGTCACGAATGTGTGGCCAGTTGTTTGTTCGCATTCTTGGTGGGATAACAGAAGATACGTGTTCCTTGCTCATCGCTTTTTTTAAATATGCGCCCGACATTGTAAGGCAGAAAGCGATCTCGTCAACGTTTGAGAGAAGAAACAGTCATGCAAGCACTGCTACTGCCAGTGCAACTTGGTGGGGTGAAATGGGGTTTAACGTTGCGTTAAGATAATTGCCCTTATATAGCGATTGTGAGTTAAGTTTTACTTTTAGTGTGTGTGTGTGTGTGTGTGTGTGTGTGTGTGTGTGTGCTTGTTTTAGTCCGGACTAATGTCGGTTTTAAAGTGCTAGTCCACATGCTTGTTAACAGTGGTTACCCCAGTCCTTGTTTTATATCCCGTTGATGCCGAGCGCTAGGCAGGGTAACAACAAGTAACATCTTTCCATATAGTTTTGTATATCATGACCAGCGGATCGAACCGCCAACCTTCCGCTCCGGGCAGACGCTCTATCCACTAGACCACTGACTCGATAGGACAGTGTGTGTGCGTCCGTGTGTGTTTGCAAACCATTTGGATTTATCTATCATGTTGTATATTATAGAGTATACCCATCCTTTTCCCAAGGCGCTGTATCCGCTTGTCAGATATGATCACTATAAATATTTACTTTATTTTTTTTTACCTTTTCACTTAAGTGTTAAATTCATTGCAACTGTCTAAGGCGTGATATGTACACCCAATAATAAACGTATTAGGCTACAGTTTACAGTGTTTAGAAGTCATAATGTGTCTTTTGTACTTACACACATGTTCGTTAACAAATTCTACATATCATATATATTTATAATAACAAGTTTAAGACATCAAATATCACAAATAAGACAGACAAATGTACACAATATTCTTCTAATTGTCACAAACTAAATTATTTGTCTATGTTCTTTTAAAAAAATCGTGAATTTTATGCCGCGGCTAGCATTAAAGCTGTATCACATGGGTCTTTAAAACTAATCCAGTTGCTGACTGTATGATTAACGACTACGGTAACACACAATCGCCCTGGTGATCTATTGGAATCACCAGACCCTAAATTGTCGACTCTTACGCAATCTCATTAATATCAGATTGTAGTTTGAGAGAACTAAAATCTGGTTTTAATGAGATTGGTTCTTACGGCAATCAAGGTCTATTCTGCCCCAGATTCCCCACACGGTTACAGACCAAAACAACTAGCTATTCTGATTAAGTGGATATTGTTCCCAGTCAATTGTTTAGTAGACTGGCGCAGTGACAGCCAGTAATTATCTACCTTCAGTAAATCCTTATGAATCGTATTATCATGTAATAATTGTACTTAATTGTACACAATACAACCTTAACACCAGGTAGGCATTTGAAATATACAAAGTTAAAGGGTTTATTAAAATATACAGAGCCCAGTTGTCAAAGGCACCGAAATTGTGTGGCATTGCTTCCAGGATCTTGATTCCATGCGTGTCTCACCAAAGCGGCACCTTGTCCCCGCCCTGCGCCCCTTGAGGCTTTCCTAGCTTATTAAGCTGTTGTTGTTCAGAGTTGTTGTGTAACCAGCATTCAGCAATATTCCAGCTATACGGCGGTCTGTAAATAATGGAGTGTTGAGTGAGTTGTTTAAGAATTCCCCCAGGTAGCTGGAACATTGCTAAGTGCAGTGTTAAACAACCCTCTCTCTCTCGCACGCACGCACGCACGCATGCACGCACGCAGCCTGTAAAGAGTGAAAGCATGAACAAGGATCCATCCCATCCGGGTACAATGACCACAAATCAGCAATGTCACTGAGCCTGAACACATCTGCCTTACTTGCACTTACAGTAAACTACAGTTCTAGCAAACTCAAAGGAACCACTAATTTAAATTCGCTATAACAATAGTTCGTTATAAGCATATGTACAACATATATACAGCAAATGGACAGGACCAAGAAATAGTTCGTTCTATCCTCAGTTCGTAATAAGCCTGTTTGTTATAAACAAAGTTTACTGTACAAAGATGGTGTACACTGGGAAGCTGTCTCTCAGGATACCCGCCAGCGTAAATTTACAGGCAGATCAAATAAACACACAAGTCCCAAACAATAAGTACATCCTTTTATTATCATGACAACCTTCTGACATACAGAGCAGATACATATCAAGGGTCTCATACAAATGTCATATACAAAGGGTTTATCAGTTCTGTACAACTGTGGACAATAATAACCAACAACAGGAACCCAAGGAGTGTGGTAGCCATACCACCGAGTCTCATAAACAACCAAGCATAAATAAGGTATAAATAAACTGTACAAATGACTTAACAGGCACTCATTACTTCTAGGGAACCAATCCTGCCACATTAAATACCTTATTTAAATTTGTTTTCCTTAACAAAGACATAGGCCTTCCTCCCTGTGAATGAGTATGTTGAGTTTAACAGTATTTCAGATGTATCATGGGGTCTGTTTTATTAAAGCCCAAAGTGCTGGTCTTAGACCTTTACAACTTTCCACAAAGCATAGGCCTATGACTGTCCAATACCTTTAACACAGAACATACGGTAGTCTTCCGTTATGGATCAGGGACCATTCCACAAAACCATCCTAGCGCTCATTCATTGTGAGTCAATGTTAAAGTATGGGAGTTATGATTGGCTAAGATCGCTTTGTGGAACGATGCCCAGGCCCCTTTGTGGAGCAGGTCCTATGTGTCTGCATGGTCTTTATGCTGTTAGGAATACAGCAGTTATATCATGGTAGGAAATACCCAAATTAGTCTACACCTATCTATGGGAAAATCAAACCCAGAACTAAGTGAGCTGAGTGAACACACTAACCACTTGGCCACACCACAATGTTGGATGATCAGGTTCAGAATTATTGTTCATGATAATAACAAACAAAAGAACCTTCCTAATATTTATTATTGTTTTTCTATCATATTTGATCCTCTTAAGACTTCTATAAACAGAAATGCAGAATTTCCTGTCCTCATGTCTGTTATTAGTTTTCAATTTTGTCAAATATGACAGGTCCCCTAAAAGCAACGCTGGTGGTGCTAACAAAAGGCCAGGTGAAAGGGTTTACAATGTGGGGCTGGGTTATTGATACAGGGAGTATTTATTCAACAATATGCTCATCGTTGAACCCAAGTGGCATAACGGAGAATAACAGGCAGATTAACACTGCAAATATATACAGGCGTTTTGACACATTCTGCTGTACAGGATTTCAATACAATTGTTGAGGTTCATAAAACAGTAGGTTTTGCAAACGTAAATATGATATTAATTTAGATCATTCATACGCTTTCATAGTTTTGTTCACCTACCCTTTTTGTTTTGTTTACCATCTGATAAAAATGTTTATACAAGTTTTATGAAAAATGTGCCAAAGGCCTACAATTGTTTATTACAATATTTGTATGCTTCTTTTGCCATTATCGTCAACATATTCTCATCTCGTCAACAAATATTGCTTCTATGCAAACAGACACTGAATAGAAACCCACAGCAATAAATTAAGAGTAAAATTAACTCGATCGTTTTTCATGCATGTTGCATGCTTGTTTTCGCCTAACTGTTCCATCTACAATATATACAAATAGAAACATATTATCAAAGCATTTCTGATGACACACAACTATGATTACACTCATTCTATGGCATATGGCGTAAATAAAATTAATATTTGCTGACCAATTACCCTTTGAATGAAGGCATATTATATGCCTTAAAACCACCATGTATCTCTGTAAATATTGAAATGTATAAATTAAATCATTGAAAGAAATATGTGAAAACAATCATGCTGTCTGGGATGGCAGTGTGTAGATGAAGACTGGCTTATGACACATTGCTGAAGTATTAGGAATAAAAGACGTATTAACAATTCTGTTCTCAAATCCTAGATCTAAATGATAGTTTTGTTTTATTGAAATTAACCAAGTTAACTTATGAAATAAATTTACAATTTATATCCTAACAGGTGGAATAATGCGTCAGTCGCATAACAGGAACACAGCAAACTTGCCCTGCCTGGACTGGACATATAAGAATGGTGCACAACTTGTAGCCATGTCAGTTAAAAGTTAATGTCTCATTTGCAATATCCCTTACAGTGACGAGAATAAATCATACATTCAAACATCATGTCTGCAACATCACCCTGCCATGTGCCGACCACCCGTCTACATGTCAATGTAGGGTTCAATCCTGGTTATCAAACACACCTACCACTGGGCCAACAACTGATTTCACCATCCTAGTGAGTGAGTGGGAGTGAGTTGGGTTTTAATGCCGCTTTTAAAATTATTCTAGTTATATCACGGCATGTCAGCTTTATGTGGGAGGAAAGCCCAAAGTGATGCAGGTCTCAGATGTTTACCACTTTGGTGAAACCCAGGAGCACGGGTATGGTGCGGACAAACCTAGAAACATAATCGGGGCGAACCGGGATTTGAACCCACAATCATAGGTTTCTGGCGTGCTCAAGGGACTCAACTCTGCACATCGAATCGCAGCGGCTTAGACGACTGGGCCACCCGTGCCCTCTCACCATCCCAGTGTGTAGGAAGCAAGAAAATAGGGTTCTACTGTAAGCTGAGCATTCTGCTGTTTTGGGATACGGCAAGCAAATAATTCAAGTTTCTCCCTGACAATGAGGTATTCTATAGTAAGCAGCTCTGTTCAGTCATAGACATGACACATACATTGTATCATATGCTACCAACAAATGTTCTTATAATTACATATTGAAACCATTAATAATGCAAAATGATACTTTTACAATGCAATAAATCTTGAACTGGGTCATGGTTTCAGGTGGGTTCATGTTTCTATATTAGCTGGGCCAATGATTGGTAATTTCATAAAGGACACAAATTACAAGGATGCCAGTACCCTATGCTAGTCACATGTAATTTCCCCATACTCTTAATAGTCCTTGCAAAATTTGGTCTCATGTCTGGTTTAAATCTTTTGAGAATAAACATCATCAAGTTCCAACAGAAATAAATCCTTCACACACAAACCTTGGTCCAACAACAAGAATGCAGATATAAGGGGAGGCAACTCTAAAGAAAATCTCTTCCATGCTTTGTGTGAAAATAGGCCTAGCTACATTCTAATATCAGTAGTACACCCCAAAGTGTACAAATCACAATGGTCTACCATGTATCGGTGTTCTTCTGTTTAACAAGTTAGTAAGGGTCACACAAAAGGATAATCAGCGAGAAGCACAGAAATAAACTGTTGGCCCCCCCCCCCCCCCCCAAAAAAAAAATAAATAATAAAAAAATAATAGATCCTGAATATCGGGATTGTACTTTCAAAATTACCTTACTTTATTGATAATACCTCACTGGTCTCAAGTCCTCATTACAAAGGAATGAAGAGCGACAGAACAGACCTCATACAGGTGTAGAAATATATCTTTACAAAACCTAATGAGTAGCACAAGTATGTCATGCAGAAGCATTCACCACGTTCATGATGAAACTAAGAAACATGGAATGTTGTGAACATGACTTCAGTCTCACAAGAGATTTAAGGCTCCTAAATATTTTGAAATTGACAGGGTTTTTTTCTTATTAACTGACACAGCCTTAGAAATTCTATTCATAAAAGACTTGTCCCAAGAACGAGTGTAATCCTTAATTCACTATTCCTCAGTTTGTAGTTCATCCTTCTTGAATGAGACAAATTATTTACCATTTTTTTTTTATGTCTGTTTTATTGACTTCTAATCTGTAGCAAAATTGAAGCATTGAAAACTGGTTCAGAATCATAGCCCTCAAATGGAACCAGTCAATGAGGACTACCATCATTGGATTGTTACTTGTCCTCAGCACAATTTAGTACCCTCGGGCTAGTGGACTAGCATGAATTTTGATGGCTGCTGTAGATACATTGTATATCAAAGACTGAGGAACAGATTCCATAAGCATTATCAGAATTTCAGACAATAGGACAATGCACACTGGTTCTACCATAGTCCTCTTCACAGTCAATCATTTCAACTGCGACTTCTACACCAAAAACAATAATATATGTGCACCAAAAAAATATGAAAACTAAAAATGACATGATGTAACATTATAACAACTAAAAGAGATATACTCGCAAGACAGTAACAAAACAAAACAGGTGCCACTATTAAATCAATTGTGATTAATTCCTCATTACAAACGTGCAGCAATACTCCAATTTAATGATGTGATAATCATTTATAATACCAACACTAGTCACTCTGTGTAAATAAATAGTAATTGTTGCTGATTGGGTTAAAACCATTCACCATTAGTATCAATTCTAGAGACATCTTTAATGACTACTGTATCATTAGCTAAAAGCAGTATACTTACATAAGGACATGCTTCTCTTATCAACATGAATCAAAAACATATCTTAAGATAAAGATCTTAACTTGTCAAGCAGCTGTCAAGTCCAATCTACAAGAGCTCCAGATAACTTGTTGAGCAATTGAGTTTTTACTCCACGGGTTCTATTTTCATTGGGTTATCACATTTTTCACTGGGTAACCAATATTTTTTCACTCACCTATTCAACACTCTATTGGGTTTTTCCCAATATGAGTAACCATTTTGAGATTTAAAAAAAAAATGAAATAATGTTTTAGATGTAATACACCGCGGGGTCAGTTTCTTGGACCCTGATGACAGCGGTATATCGAGGGATCACTGTATAATGGTTCTAAATATAGGCTTGATAGCTCGTAAATGTGTTTCAGAAATTAGCTCCATTGTTTGCATGCCTAAAATGCTTCATTGGGTATTTACGCACGCTGTTTTCAAACAATTTCCATTTAATTTTCCATTTAATGGATGCGTTTCTGTACGCAAGTTAATTGAAAGTAATTGGGTTTTAAATAGTTTTGGGGGGTATTTTACGCAAATACACAGCTTATCTGTAGCTGTCTACTAAAAGTATTTGGGTTGAGTTTCCAGTTATTTCATTTGTCTTGATTAGCATTTCACAGCATCACAAGTATAGACATGTGTGATCATATCACTTAACAATCTTGTTGATGAAGTGGAAACAACAGACCTAGCCTAATATCACACAAACAACATGGCACTAAACACATTTGTTCTACCAAAAATCATTGCCAGAATACATGCATACCGGACATTTTGAACGTTACCCCCAATACTCCGTACATTAATCTTGCAATGCTTAGATATCTGGACCTAATGTCTGTTTAATAATCATCATTATAAGACAATAAGACATCATGTATGGCAGTCCAAGCTTTGTTTATTATTCAACCCTATTGAAGCACATTGAAAGCAAATTGAAAGCACATGGTGCTTCCCCAACAGCTGCACCAGTGGTGAGTCAGTTCAGTGCTAGCATCAACTTCAACCATCTCATCGATGTTCATGATATTAGTCACTGGATTGTCTGGTCCAGACTCGATTATTTACAGACCGCTATCATATAGCTGGAATATTGCTGAGTGCGGCGTTAAACAACAAACCAATCTCATTATCATAAGACATGAATAGAAAACCCAGTTAAGTCACTAGTCCTCACAAATAATGTATGCAACCGTACAAAGTTAATTCTAGTCCTGTGCAGGGATGCAGATAAAGATGGATGCACGGATGCACATTCACCTTTTGGTCTAGCCACTACAATGTTCTGCTGAATCCTGGATCCACCTCTGATATATATTGATACATTAACTACTCAGCATCATGAGCTCAGTTGTAGGACCAGTGCTTAGAAGACAGACAAAGAAGCAAATGTAGCTCTACTGAGGCAGGGGATGTGATTACGTACATATATAATGTTTGCTCACTGACATATAAACTACATGCATGATCTATCATATTCGCCATAATGAACGCCCTAGTCAGTCAGAATATAAACAAAGGAACGCTAACAAAAATCATACACAAGTTAAATTTGTTTTCAGAGATTCCATTAGAATACCTGCCTTGTGGGTGCTGCTGAGTCACAATATCATATTCTGGCCCAGAGACGTGTATGGTTTTGGTGTATTTCTAATATACATGAACACTCGCCGATTCAAATCTTGATAGAGTAGACACCATGAGTAATAAAATCCTAATAGCTAATTTCAGACAGTGGTTAACACAACATAGCTATTTCAAAACTAGCAGTCCGTTCAGATTTTAGCTGGTCACAGCACTAGTGGTCTTATCCAACCCTGGTCATGGAACAGGAACATGGGCAGTTGGTAGGAAGGAAACAGGTTTTGTACCCTAACATCTGTAATGCATCACAGCCTTGTCTGCACGGACATCTACACATTAAAACTCTGAAATATATTACCATCAAATTTCATACACATTTAACAAGGCAATTTATGTGATGACAAAATATCATAAAAATATCATTTCATTCATCTAGTTGTGCACTTTATTTAAACTCATAAATCCCTATATATGTATTAATCTACACACATTCTCTCATTTTCACAGGACTCCATAGGAACACTTGAACGGCACACTTGAAATGAAAACTGAAACTGGTAGTGAACGGAAACCAAGGCTAACGTTTAAGTTGATTATTATTCAAAAGTGATTGCCTCAAGACCACATTTTTATTTTATTATCCTTACCCAAAACACTCATTTCTGTGTTCTCAAATCCACCTTCTCAAAACTGTTGATAATTTTGAAAGATTAAACATACATTTCTTTCACAATCATACATAGCTATCGGTATCAAGTTGACTAGAACATTATCAAAGAGAAAGTAAAACACTGTTCTGATTAGGATGTTCTATTTGCATCATCATAGCAGTAGGCTTCCTTCATCACAACATATATTCAAAATATTCTATGCCTTCAAACATTCCAAGTCAGGAACGTCTGTATACAAGATTACAAACACATCTGACAGCTGGCTACTACTACATTTGATTAGATAAACGACAACGGAGTATAAGAAACGGAGTATAAGAAACAGAATATGATAATGAATCCATACAACCTATCAATTTTATGAAAGTTACATAAATGAGTAATAAATTAATCAAGCTTCAAGCCCTTTACAACAAAGCTATGAAATGAGAAGAACACTTTTTGAAAGTTATAGGATGACCAAAGAATGATAGATAGTCATATCACAGGTGAGCCCTTGCTGCCATTGCACGTACATAAGCTTGGATTCTCCTGTGACATGAGCGGGGAGGGGGCTGTTATGACTTGCATTACCATGGAAACAACAATATACAAAAAAACAAAGAAGGTAAGCTGTTGGTGATGTGGAAAAGTGCAGCATGGTTTGGCTAAATATATCACATGTAAGTATAGTATGTTTGGTCGCTACTGACCACTGACTATGATGACAAGACAAGACAAGAGCGTGCTGTCCGGGAAAACAAATTTCTGCTATCTTCCATGTTTCCTGACGCAGGACAAATATGTAATTCATAATTGTAGATGACTCACATGTGCTTGATAAGGGCCAGCACAATACCTAGAATGACCCCGAATATGTCTTCCTTTTATTTGTTTTGCTGTATGTGGCGGCCACATATGCTTGATAAGGGCAGCACAGTACCTAGAATGACCCCGAATATGTCTTCCTATTATTTGTGTTGCTGTATGTCGCGGCCACATATGCTTGATAAGGGCCAGCACAGTACCTAGAATGACCCCGAACAGTACCTAGAATGACCCAAAATAGTTCTTCCTATTATTTGTGTGGTGACCACATATGCTTGATAAGGGCCAGCACAATACCTAGAAAGGCCCTGAATGTTTTCCTAGCATTGCATATTTGTAGCCACATACTGTCAACATGAATAAAACCATATAATGTACATTTAGCATCCTGTTGACAGATAGATATCTGACAGGATTAGTTGAACAAACTCCACGTGACATCCTTGCTCTGACCTCAGCACTCAACCCTCTTGGAGTATCACACATGGATGGCAACAACCTTGTAACAACAGAACATATCGCAGTCGATTAGCTGGCTGTACTGTATAAACTCCCACAACATGACAGCCATATTGACTGTCAAGCAACAGGCACAGCTATACAGAGGATACAGGATTGTTAATCATGACACCTCCCATTCTTCAACCCCTAGATAATATCATAATAAATATGTAAGCTATAAATAATTAAATAAAGAATAAAGTCCATTTGGTTGACTCTGAATTTTAAAATTCTTAAAGTTTTCAAAGCCTAAAATAAAGCAGACAAAATTCATGTGAAACAGGTTAACCTGCTCCCATAACCTGCATCTTATCACAGAGTAGATTTGTATACATATTGCTTTGGATGTATGGAAACTATAGTAATGGCTTTTGCTGGATTAGAAGCAGCAATTTCATGCCACCAAAAGTATCCTACAAATTCATTTTTAAAAACGTTCTTAGTCCCATTTTTGGGATGGAACAGGTTAGTATTCCGGAGATCATAGTACCACAAGAACTGTTTGTAAGTAGAAGAACAGGCGTTGCATCTGTTGTAGGGTTGATGTCCCTTTATAGAACAGGACACAAATTAAGCTATGTTTCTATGGTAACAGGGAACATTTCTGAGTAAATATTACAAAAAGATCTTTCCTGTTACCATGGAAACGAAACTGTCTCGATGGAAGGAGGTTCCAGCTTGCGTCTCCAGCAGTCATGTTTCTTCACCAGAAGCTTGTTGTCCCATGGCCAAGCACTCGCCTGTCTTGTCAGTCTGTGAGTTATGTACAGCTGATGGCTGATTATGTACAGGATTATTTTTCAAGGATGTCGAACGCTGGTCCGACTCGGATGAAGAACTTGCGTAGGATGGATCTCATTTCTTGCTTGAGGTCAAACATAATGGATTCACAAAGGAACGGGTAATACTTGGATGCATGGACTCGGAACTGCAGAAAGAAGAAAATACCACTCCTTTTTAAAGACTAAAGCTAAATAAAAAATAAATAAAAATATTCAACAAGCATCTCTGCAAATATATACATAGTGATGAAAACCCCCCAAAACAATTCACAGAGATGACATATCAATTCAAATCAATGTTTACTTTGTGTTGATGAATTGTCTGATCAAAGATTCTTTTTTGCCTTCAGCCAAGGAGTATTGAAGCTCTACAAGCTACTATGTAAATGTTTCAAGATCACTTGTCTTACCATGGATAAGGATAAAAGATGGATGGTTGATTGATTAGATAAAGTAATGGGAAACATCAGAATTTTTTTTAGCAATATTCCAGCAATATCATGGTGGGGTCAGATAAATTGAAGTGATGAAGTAGTCCTACCCTCTGATCGGACATCTTAAGGACTCGAGTAAGCAGCAGCAACATGAGGCTGCTCCATGCCTCGCGGTGGCTGTCAGACTGCAGGGACAGGAAGTAATCCAGGGCATCGCTGCAGACACTGAAACACAGATACATAGTGTCACACATCACTGAAACACAGATACATTGTGTCACACAACACTGAAACACAGATACATTGTATCACACAACACTGAAACACAGATACATAGTGTCACACAACACTGAAACACAGATACATAGTGTCACACAACACTGAAACACAGATACACAGTGTCACACAACACTGAAACACAGATACACAGTGTCACACAACACTGAAACACAGATACATAGTGTCACACAACACTGAAACACAGATACATTGTGTCACACAACACTGAAACATAGTGTCACACAACACTGAAACACAGATACATAGTGTCACACAACACTGAAACACAGATACACAGTGTCACACAACACTGAAACACAGATACACAGATACACAGTGTCACACAACACTGAAACACAGATACACAGATACACAGTGTCACACAACACTGAAACACAGATACACAGATACACAGTGTCACACAACACTGAAACACAGATACATTGTATCACACAACACTGAAACACAGATACATAGTGTCACACAACACTGAAACACAGATACAGTGTCACACAACACTGAAACACAGATACACAGTGTCACACAACACTGAAACACAGATACACAGTGTCACACAACACTGAAACACAGATACATAGTGTCACACAACACTGAAACACAGATACATTGTGTCACACAACACTGAAACATAGTGTCACACAACACTGAAACACAGATACATAGTGTCACACAACACTGAAACACAGATACACAGTGTCACACAACACTGAAACACAGATACACAGTGTCACACAACACTGAAACACAGATACACAGATACACAGTGTCACACAACACTGAAACACAGATACATTGTATCACACAACACTGAAACACAGATACATAGTGTCACACAACACTGAAACACAGATACAGTGTCACACAACACTGAAACACAGATACATAGTGTCACACAACACTGAAACACAGATACATTGTGTCACACAACACTGAAACACAGATACAGTGTCACACAACACTGAAACACAGATACATAGTGTCACACATCACTGAAACACAGATACAGTGTCACACAACACTGAAACACAGATACATTGTGTCACACAACACTGAAACAGACACACAGTGTCACACATCACTGAAACAGTGTGATACATTGTGTCACACAATACTGAAACAGACACACATTGTCACACATCACTGAAACACATATACATAGTGTCACACAACATTGAAACACAGATACATTGTATCACACAACACTGAAACACAGATACATAGTGTCACACAACACTGAAACACAGTGCATAGTGTCACACAACATTGAAACACAGATACATAGTGTCTCACAACACAGACACATAGTGTCACACAACACTGAAACACAGATACATAGTGTCACACAACACTGAAACACAGATACATAGTGTCACACAACACTGAAACACAGATACATAGTGTCACACAACACTGAAACACAGATACATAGTGTTTTGTTATGTGTTGAGGTTATCTGCTACAGTAGCTTATCTGTATCTTGTGACATTTGTATAATGCATGGATCCCCTTGATGTTCATCATTTTGAACACTGAGTATGTTCATTTTAAATGCAGACCAACAACAATGTATTATAAACATACTGTTGACATCTGTTGACCTATAACATTGGAACTTACTCTAGCAACTTCTTCTCAATGTCTGGCCAGGCGTCTGTCCTTGCTTCATCATTGTACATACGGAACAGGATGCGGAAGAGACACGCCAGACTCTGTGTTTCCTGCTTCAGTAAATTGGGTTTGGCTTTACCTTTAAAACCTGAAACATATTGTCTGCATGAAATGCATCACATTCAATTGTTGAAAGATTTTGGGATATTTTATTGTACAAGAGTGACCCAATAATGGCTTATCTGCTGTGATGATTTGTCCGAGTGAGCCCGAACTGATCTGGGTTTCGTTGTACAAAACAATCTTAGCACTAAAACTGACGTAAGACTGTGTTAAGGTATGGGAGTTACGATCACCTTAGCGCTAAGATTGCTTTGTACAACGGCACTCTGTTGTTCTTTTTAATCTAAGGGTGGGGATGGGATGGGGTTGGACTTCATACTGCAAAAAGCTATTCAACCAGCAAACGTACAGGGTGGGCTATTATCAGAAAAATTTAAACTTGATGGTTTTGTGACCTTGTGGGTGAATGAGATCAACTGTGGGTGAATGAGATCAACTGTGGGTAAATGAGGTCAACTGTGGGTGAATGAGATCGACGGTGGGTGAATGAGATCGACTGTGGGTGAATGAGGTCAACTGTGGGTGCAAGAGATCAACTGTGGGTGAATGAGATCGACTGTGGGTGAATGAGATCGACTGTGGGTGAATGAGGTCGACTGTTGGCGAATGAGATTGACTGTGGGTGAATGAGATCGACTGTGGGTGAATGAGATCAACCGGATGAATGAGATGCTGTGGGTGAGATCGACTGTGGGTGAATGAAATCGACTCGGTGAATGAGATCGACTGGGTGAATGAGATCGACTGTGGGTGAATGAGATCGACTGTTGGTGAATGTGATCGACTGTGAGCGAATGAAATCGACTGTGGGTGAAGAAGATTGACTGTGGGTGAATGAGATCGACTGGGTGAATGAGATCGAATGTGGGTGAATGAGATCGACTTGGTGAATGAGGTCGACTGTGGGTGAATGAGATCGACTGTGGGTGAATGAGATCGACTGTGGGTGAATGAGGTCAACTATGGGTGAATGAGATCAACTGTGGGTGAATGAGATCGATTGTGGGTGACAATCTCTGGGTGAGTCGTACTGTTAAATAGTACCACGTACCAGCTTTCCAGAGTATATTCCTTTGTTCGTGGTTAGAGTTAAAAGCTTTGGCAAACTTGTGGGACTGGAGTAGACAGTCGACGAGCATGAACAGCTGGTTGGAGCTGAGGAACTGGTACATGCCCTGGTCCTCTCTCTGCTGGGATGGGTCAAACAGCTGTGCCTCGTCACTGTTAGCCTGCACAGTCAGATATATACACTGTAGGAATCAAAGCCTGTACCTGACTAAACACTGTTAGCCTGCACTGATAAAGTCAGATACATACACGGTAGGTTCAAAGCCTCTTCAACTCATACCCCTTCCTCTAAATGTCTGGGTTTATTTAAGAACTTTCTTCAAGATATCTTTGCATTTATGGAGGTATATGTATAAAAGCTGATATGCATTCTGTATGCAGAGTTACACAAAGTGTACACCTGTGCTGCTTGTTATCTCCACTGGTTATCTACATCAATCAACTATAGAGGATATTATATGAGTGTTCATGTCATACTATGTTTACGACACGAGTGTCTTAATACCAGAATTTAGGCATGAGGGTCATAAACATAGTATGACATGAACACGAACATAATGTTCTATTTTTCACCGAAGTAGATGTCTTCATACAGAGACGAATTTTAGAGTTTACCTTAAGGACAGCAAGTTGCAACCGCAGCAAAACCTCAATTTGTAGAATGACTTCAACAGTCTTTAGCTACGACCTCATTTCTAGTGTGATGTCATTCCAACCTCATGTCACAAAAGATTTGAATGACGTTAACAATGCCGTCCGAATGACGTAAACAATACACTGTTGTCTTGGGACGTGATGAGACTCTAGGGCACATATGTTTGCACTCGTAGGTAAAAGTGAGTGAGTATGGTTTTACGCCGTTTTTAGCAATATTCCAGCAATATCACGGCGGGGGACACCAGAAATGGGCTTCACACATTGTACCCATGTCGGGAATCGAACCACGGTCTTCGGCGTGACGAGCGAACACTTTAACCAGTAGGCTACCTGACTGCCCCTTGTAGGTAATAAACTGTGTCATCTCACCTGTGCTGCAGCCAGGTACTCGGCATCCTCCTTCTTGCTGGTGGCGGGGAAGAAGACGATGTTGTCGATGGTCTGGATGAGCTCGAGCTGCACCACACACTTGATCAACAGGCCCTGGAACAGCTTCTGCTCAGTCGCAACTTCTGCAACACCACACACACAACATCTGTACACATCCTGCGGTAGTCGGCGCTCCTGCCCCCATGTCATGGTGGCTGGTAAGTAATCCTCGGTCCTATTCCACCAAGTGATCACAGAGCTACAACTATTGTAAGTCTATGGTAAAGAATAGGAGTTGTGATAACACTAGGATTGCTTTGTGGAATGCTGCACAGACAAAGACAAACAAGTAGTTGTGTACACCGAACTCAGCAATATTACAGCTATATGCCTACAGTGAATAATCAAATCAGACAATCCAGTGAATGGCATCATGAGCATCGATCTATGCAATGACATGCATCAACCAAGTCAGTGAGCCTGACCACCTGATCCAGTTAGACACCTCTTACAACAAGCGCGAGTTGCTGAAGATCAATTTTAACCCAGATCTCTTTGCAGGGGATCAGTGATTGAAAGTGTGAGCATGAAGCCATTGGTGTAAAATGAAACACATCAGCCTGGCATTGTTGACATAGCTACCACTTAATTGGTTTCCATGGTTGCAGTCATCAACATTCATATCATATAATCAAATAACCAAGTGCGGGCCAGGTGAGCCAGAGTTTGAGCAAGAATCCATGCAATGATACACAATCAGGTCACCACACTGTGACCAACCAAACCTTATTTTACTTGTATTTTATGGAAGGCACTGAGTAGTGAGAATGTTTGATGCACTGCTCTCACCACTACGATTACGGCTGTGTAAAATACAATGGGGTTACAGCAAGATGAATTGTGGCTGGGCAACCAGGTAATATTTATGAGACTTGAGAAACTGCATGTCTTACTTGATCGAGGTATTTTGTGATCCCGTGACTCCACGGAGACGTTACTGCCAATGCTGTCCGCTCGCCTCAACTTGCCGCTCTCGTGGTTACTTTCAAGGGACAGACCAGACTCTGACCTGGTGTCCTGTTGACATCAATAAACTTGTGTGAGTACACTACTTCCTCTTTCCCACACAATCAGCCAAACACATTGTAACTACTCATTCCTCAGTTTAGTCAGTCTTATGACAAACACACTGGGGACCAGTTTTGCCATGAATCCCCAAGAGTCATACATGCTTCAACTGACCATAGAGTGTTGGTTGTGAAGTGTGCTGATCTACAAGACCCCCAACCCTCTCCCTCTCTATTGTGCTCTCCTGCCTTTGCAAAGCCCATCTTAAAGTACCTCTGCTACCCAGAGTTCCTTGCGGTCAACCTAGTATCTCTGCCTATGGCCATTGATAGGTTTTCATTATGCTGTACTGCTCTGATAACATTCGTTTGCTTTGTTTGTTTGTTGTTTAATGCCGCACTCAGCAATATTCCAGCTATATGACGGTGGCCTATAAATAATCAAGTCTGGACCAGACAATCGAGTGATTGACATCATGAGCATCGATCCGAGCAGTTGGGATATGGTGACATGCATCGACCAAGTCAGTGAGCCTGACCACCCAATCCCATTAGTCACCTCTTACGACAAGCATAGTTGCGGAAGACCAATTGTACCCCGGATCCTCACTAGTAGCTTTGATAACAGAATTAACACGAGAGAAAATTCAGGTCTATCAACTTGGCTTGTGGCAGTGATGTACTGCCAGGTTATCACTGTGTCTGTGTGTCACTGGAGACCTAAATTATACATCATGGAGCATGCTTCATACAGATGAAAAGTAAGTGAATGAGTGAGTTAAGTTAACGCCGCTTTGAACATTATTCCAGTTATATCACGGCGTGTCAGCTTAATGTGGGAGGAAAGCGGAAGTGATGCAGGTCTCAGATGTTTATCACTTTGGTAAAACCCACGGGCACGGGTATGGTACTGACAAACCTAGAAACATACTCGGGGCAAACCGGGATTCGAACCAAGGCTCATAGGTTTCCTGCATGTCCAACTCTGCACAGCGAATTGTGGTGCCTTAGAAAACTGGGCCACCTGTGCGTCAATACAGATGAATATGTTCACTGATGTAGTGAGTGAGGCGAGGTGAATGGGGAAATGCAAGTGCATGTGTGTGTGGCTGCTTGTACTAGTCCGGACTAATGCCGATTTTATAGTGCTAGCCCACTGAGATACCATGCCGCAGTTTAACATGAATACCCCACTCAGAGACCGTATACTGATGGGGTGGGGATTTAACCCTGGATCTTCCGCTCTCCAACTGGACGCTCTACCACTAGACCACGGAGGCGGTCTGTAGCGAGAATTATTATAGGGTAACATGGTGTAATAACCATTAGATTTGGAACTTACCTGATTGTCCATGGAGTTTGCATCATAATCACTGGCAGTGTCTTTGGATGGTGACACAGAGTCCATCTCATCCTCGGGTCTCCATGACAATAACCTGGAAAGAGAATCGTAACACTCAATGATACATACGTGGTATTTATAACAACTTTGTAGAATATTGCATTATTTATTCATATTCAACTGCACTCCTTAGAGGCAAGAAACTCCTCTGAGAGACAAAGGAGAAGCTTGAGGAGTTACAAGAGTTGGGTCATAATCTATTCATATGAAGCAACAACTGAACTTCTGAGAAACAAAGGACAAGCTTGAGGACTTAAGAGAGTTGGGTCATTATCTATTCATATGAAGCAACAACTGAACTTCTGAGAGACAAAGGACAAGCTTGAGGACTTAAGAGAGTTGGGTCATTATCTATTCATATGAAGCAACAACTGAACTTCTGAGAGACAAAGAACAACTTGAGGACTTAAGAGAGTTGGGTCATTATCTATTCATATGAAGCAACAACTGAACTTCTGAGAGACAAAGAACAACTTGAGGACTTAAGAGAGTTGGGTCATTATCTATTCATATGAAGCAACAACTGAACTTCTGAGAGACAAAGAACAACTTGAGGACTTAAGAGAGTTGGGTCATTATCTATTCATATGAAGCAACAACTGAACTTCTGAGAAACAAAGGACAAGCTTGAGGACTTACGAGAGTTGGGTTATTATTACAATCTATTTATATGAAGTAACAATTGAACTCGGACAGACTTACGAGTGTGGAATGGTAGACTTGAAGATGTCCAGCATGCACCTGCAGGTCTTCTCCCATACCTCCGGGGCGTACTTGATGCCATTAGAGATCACCAGGTTCTCCAGGCAGTTGGTCCCAGAGCGAGCCAACTGCTCATTGTCTGCACACAAACAACGTAACAATTACTGCTCACGAAGACTGATGTGTCGTACCTGCCCTGCCTCAATCTCATTAAAATCAGATCTTAGTTTTCACTATCGCTAAACAAAGATCTGAGGACATCCCATTACGGTTCACATCAGAACGACCTTTCATCCAACCAATCAGAGCGTTGCTTAACAGATCATTAAAGTGACAGTCGGAATGTGTTTTCTAATCATGCAACAACGAAATATTTATTTATGCCCTGCCCTGCCTGTGTGTCTTCCTGCCCTGCCTGTGTGCCATACCTGCCCTGCCCGTGTCGTACCTGCCCTGCCTGTGTGTCATACCTGCCCTGCCTGTGTGTCATACCTGCCCTGCCTGTGTGTCTACCTGCCCTACCTGTGTGTCTACCTGCCCTGCCTGTGTGTCATACCTGCCCTGCCTGTGTGTCTACCTGCCCTGCCTGTGTGTCTACCTGCCCTGCCTGTGTGTCTACCTGCCCTGCCTGTGTGTCATACCTGCCCTACCTGTGTGTCTACCTGCCCTGCCTGTGTGTCTACCTGCCCTGCCTGTGTCATACCTGCCCTGTCTGTGTGTCTACCTGCCCTGTCTGTGTGTCTACCTGCCCTGCCTGTGTGTCTACCTGCCCTGCCTGTGTGTCTACCTGCCCTACCTGTGTGTCATACCTGCCCTGCCTGTGTCGTACCTGCCCTACCTGTGTGTCTACCTGCCCTGCCTGTGTGTCTACCTGCCCTACCTGTGTGTCATACCTGCCCTGCCTGTGTGTCTACCTGCCCTGCCTGTGTGTCTACCTGCCCTGCCTGTGTGTCATACCTGCCCTACCTGTGTGTCTACCTGCCCTGCCTGTGTGTCTACCTGCCCTGCCGGTGTGTCATACCTGCCCTACCTGTGTGTCTACCTGCCCTGCCTGTGTGTCTACCTGCCCTGCCTGTGTCATACCTGCCCTGTCTGTGTGTCTACCTGCCCTGTCTGTGTGTCATACCTGCCCTGCCTGTGTGTCTACCTGCCCTGCCTGTGTGTCATACCTGCCCTACCTGTGTGTCTACCTGCCCTGCCTGTGTGTCTACCTGCCCTGCCTGTGTGTCTACCTGCCCTACCTGTGTGTCTACCTGCCCTACCTGTGTGTCTACCTGCCCTGCCTGTGTGTCTACCTGCCCTACCTGTGTGTCGTACCTGCCCTGCCTGTGTGTCTACCTGCCCTGCCTGGGTGTCTACCTGCCCTGTCTGTGTCGTACCTGTCCTGCCTGTGTGTCATACCTGCCCTGCCTGTGTGTCATACCTGCCCTGCCTGTGTGTCGTACCTGCCCTACCTGTGTGTCTACCTGCCCTGCCTGTGTCGTACCTGTGTGTCTTCCTGCCCTGCCTGTGTGTCTACCTGCCCTGCCTGTGTCGTACCTGCGTGTCTACCTGCCCTGCCTGTGTCGTACCTGTGTGTCTTCCTGCCCTGCCTGTGTGTCTACCTGCCCTGCCTGTGTCGTACCTGTGTGTCTACCTGCCCTACCTGTATGTCTACCTGCCCTGCCTGTGTCGTACATGTGTGTCTTCCTGCCCTGCCTGTGTGTCTACCTGCCCTGCCCGTGTGTCTACCTGCCCTGCCGGTGTGTCTACCTGCCCTGCCCGTGTGTCGTACCTGCCCTGCCCGTGTGTCGTACCTGTGTGTCGTACCTGCCCTGCCCGTGTGTCGTACCTGTGTGTCTTACCTGCCCTGCCTGTGTGTCTACCTGCCCTGCCCGTGTGTCGTACCTGCCCTGCCTGTGTCGTACCTGTGTGTCATACCTGCCCTGCCTGTGTGTCTTCCTGCCCTGCCTGTGTTATACCTGCCCTGCCTGTGTGTCATACCTGCCCTGCCTGTGTCATAAATGCCCTGCCTGTGTCATAAATGCCCTGCCTGTGTCATACCTGCGCTGCCTGTGTCATACCTGCGCTGCCTGTGTCATACCTGCGCTGCCTGTGTGTCATACCTGCCCTGCCTGTGTCATAAATGCCCTGCCTGTGTCATAAATGCCCTGCCTGTGTCATACCTGCGCTGCCTGTGTCATACCTGCGCTGCCTGTGTCATACCTGCGCTGCCTGTGTGTCATACCTGCCCTACCTGCGTGTTGTACTCACCCTGTTGGACACACCAGTGCAGCATCTGGTAGAGGTCCGACAGGAGGATATCACTGAGGACATCGTAGTACTGCGTGAACACATCCACAATAGCATACAGTGCATGGTTACATGTTGTCGTCATCCATTCATTCTTCTGTGGACAGAAAATACAACATTTAGGATTAGCAAATTTATGACACAAAAGGACTGGTCGTACTTGCAGATGACTTTAAATTCCCAAAAGGGACTATACAATTAACTATCAGTCAGCAGGGCTTCACTCACCTCATTCAACTGTTCAGGTAGTTTCATGTTATCAAAAATACGGAAAATAATATTGAAGAGATCTCGCCACCAATGTGGCTGGAATGTTTCTCCATACGTCTTCATGATCTCAAACATCACAGTCAGACCTCTGAAATACAAACAGCAGCATTAGTCAAAGGAATCTGTGTACATGTGTATCGTACAGAAGAGGGAGAAGTCATTCTTCAGGAGTGAGTGAGTGAGTGAGTATGGTTTTACGCCGCTTTTAGCAATATTCCAGCAATATCACGGCGGGGGACACCAGAAATGGGCTTCACACATTGTACCCATGTCAGGAATCGAACCCGGGTCTTCGGCATGACGAGCGAACGCTTTAATCACTAGGCTACCCCTAGTGAAAAGATATGAAATTGTTCATCCATATATCTTATCCTTACTTTTGCATATACAGCATAAAAGGTATTTTGGAAATATTTCTCAGCCAGTGCAAAGCATCAGGGCCCACTGGCACAAAGCGATCTTAGCGCTAACACTATTGTAAGCCTATGTTAAAGTATGGGCGTTACGATCATCTTAGTGCTAAGATAGCTTTGTGCAAGTGGGCCCAGGTCTTATTCACTGATGGCAGCACTGATGTGTGTGGGAGAGTTCTTACCGTGTGCGGACATCCAATTTACACCTGTTGATGACACAGGACAGTTCAAATAACACTGGGAACCATCCTCGCACCCACTCCCGGTCATCCTCCGGGACTGACACCTCCTCCCCTGTATGATCTCGGAACATCTGGGGCACAAGATAACAATAGGTCAGAGTGAGTGAGTGAGTGAGTTTGATTTTAAGCAGCTTTTAGCAATATTCCAGCAATATCACTGCGGGGGGACACCAGAAATGGGCTTCACACATTGTACCCATGTCCGGAATCGAACCCGGGTCTTCGGCGTGATGAGCGAACACTTTAACCACTAGGCTACCCTACCGCCCCACAATAGGTCAGAAATACACCAGTAAGTGTGTGATCAATGCAGCTTGCTGCTGTGGTTAGTGTGATGACTCAAGCACATCTTATGACACAAGAGGTCAATCTTTCAATGAACTTGACCACCAATATACTAGCCTTTACAGTTAGAGTGAGAACACTGGAGTTACACCAACCAGCAATACAGCCCCTATTGGGGCAATCTGTAGATATTTGGGAAAACCAGTGGTGGATATCATGAGCAACAACCAATAGGAAAATATATCGGGTACGTAACCACTCTATCACATTCTACTCAGCATCTGCGACAAGCATTGGGTAATGGGGACTTCTCATGGGGATAGCTGATGGATCCTGTCATTTACTTCTTCGCTAGCAGTCCACTACACTGTATCTACACAATTGGCCATTATTCCCGCACTTTGTCACTGATCAAATAAATAATTAATAACCCTTCATGTTCCTTGGCCATATGAGTCTCCTGGCCGAAACATTTCCCAGGTCTTGTGTCACTTGACCCAGAGTGAGCGAATATGGTTTTACAACGCTTTTAGCAGTATTCCACTAATATCATGGCGAGGGACACCGGAAAATGGGCTTCACATGTGGGGAATTGAACCTGGGTCTTCGGCGTGATGAGCCAACACTTTAACCACTAGGCTACCCCACCGCCCCCTTGAATCAGAAGTATTAATCTGAAGCCCTGCCCTTGGCTCCCTACTTGCTCCATGTAGTCGGCCATTGACAATGTTGTCCACTAGCCTAGGAAGCTGGTGTACTCACATGAGGCTTCTCTGCGACGTACTTGGCACAGTTCCTGATCAGCCTGATGGCTTCCATGCTAGTGTCAGGGAATGCAGCGTTACACGCAAACTCCGACAGGCACTTGACAGCATCTTGGAATGAGTCAATCACGGCAAAAAAATGTTTCTCAAATATGCTGGCTGAAAACAAGAAATATACAGCTTGTACCTTCATTCCATGGTGGATCACTGAAATAAGAGTCCCCAACTACCCCCAGCAGGGCTTAAGGTGTCAAAAACATTACTTCTAGAGTGAGTGAGTGAGTGAGGTTTTACGCCGCTTTTAGCAATATTCCAGCAATATCAGGGCGGGGGACACCAGAAATGGGCTTCACACATTGTACCCATGTCGGGAATTGAACCCGGGTCTTCGGCGTGACGAGCTAACGCTTTAACCACTAGGCTACCCGACCGCCCCCCATTACTTCTAGAAAAACGTTGGGTTTTATGGCAATTTTAGCACAGAAGTTGACACCAGACAAGGCTTTCTCATACTGCACACATGTGGAGAATTGAACCATGGCCTTTGGCGTACCAAGCAAACACTTTAACCACTAGGCTACCCCCTTAGGGTACATTAATTTCACTCGGTTACATTAGTTTGAATCTAAGAAGATGAACATCAGAAAGTCATATTTAGACAGGTACTTTGCTATTATTTTTCTTCTTTTATTGCAATATGTTATATTTTTTATTAATTCAGTTACCGGGTAGCGGAAACAGATATTACATAATTTGCACATGTATAGAGCAGGAATAGAGCCCTGCTTCCAATCGGAGGCGTTACTTTGTGTCATATATTATTAGTTACTTCTCTTTTCCATACATAAGTATTGACAATCAACCAAGTGTCAAATGCTGAGGAAGCCCATGAATAGGCACAGACACATCCGAGGAAGATGACAATCTAAGGTCTGGCATTATCCCAGTAAGTCAACCATCAACTCACAAATAATTTTGCCGGTAGTCTGGAACGCCAGTTCCACGATCCCCTCATCATGGTCGGAGGCAGCTAGGTGGAACACACTGAAGATATTCTTCCAACCAGACCGGATATTTCCTGCTTGGGAGTTGACCATCTGTGCCACACATCTCACAACCATGTCACGGATTGTTGGGGATCTGAACAAGGCATCATAATAATCTCATGCAAAATGTCTAACACAATACTTAACTGATTGAAATAATCAGGACACATTCATTTTCAAGGATTTCATTTTGAAATGAACTTTTGCTTGTTGTTTAATGCCACATTCTGACCATGTATCATAAATTATTGAACCAGCAATAAAAAAAGGTCGCCAAGCCTGACCACCCAATCCATACAGTTGCCAGTTGTGTGACAAGCATAAATGTTGGTGATCCAATCAAACCTGGGATTCCCAGAGAACTAACATTAAAGACTCACCTATTTCTTTTCATGATATGCTCAAAAGGCCTTAGGAAATCTTTCTGGAAACGGAAATTTGCAAACTCTCCTTTTTCAATGAACTTCATGGAGAGCTGACGGAGGGAATCAACAGCAAAGAAAGCAATGTCTTCATTGGGGTTGCAGCCCACCTGCAACAGCAATCAGTGGAATCAGTGAACACAGACAATCCTTTAGATGTGAACAAAATACCAGTGAATGATATTCCCAAAGAACAATTCACAGCACCAGATATGCCACCAAAAATCCCAACAATATTCTGATACATGTTTACACATTAAAGTTATATTTTATTTTGCATCAGGTGATTATACTCTGCCCAAGACGTTCACCAAAACAGTTGTGTTTGCTTAACGCCACAGCGTAATAACGGATGGGCGACCTGTGTCCCCTCGTCTGTCTAGTACTAGGTCCGCACCTTGTTGAAGTGGTCCCCGAGGTACTGCCATATCCTGGACCACTGCAGACGGACCCTGCCCATGTTGTAGTAGGAGATCTCCACGATCTTCTGTAGACTGAACATCCGGGGGTGACTGTGGCTGGCCAACTCGTCCATCGACACCTGGCACAGCGCCTTCGTGAACTCCACTACAGATGGGAGGGGAAATTGGTGAAATGGCAGGTTCATTTCAGAACATGCTCTTATTCTATAACCATTTTACATGAATATATAATATGTCACTATAAACTGAATATTAAAACCATACAATTGTCAAGTAGGTGAGTGAGCGAGTAATTGTTGCTGAACGCCACAGGAAGCAATAATCCAGCTATGTCACAGCTGCCTGTAGCTAGCTAAGCCTGGACAGTGAAAACCGGTGACTGAAAGCATGATAACCAATCTGCACACCACTTCAAACAATCTGCCAAGACACCTGGCCATCCAATCTTCATAAGTCGGCTCATACAAATAGGATTACTGGGCACTAAAGACATCCTGGAACACCCATGTGGGGCATGGCAAGCAAGAAACTGCAAAACAAAGTGATAGAAAACCTTAATCTGCCAAACTGTTTCAAATATCTGAAAGTTAGCACTATTACCCCATTACCTGACCCTACCAAGGTACCCACTGCAGGTCTCAAGAGATTGGTACAAAATGTCCAATTGGGAAACTTTTGACTGTACTCCTGTCACAATGTATTTAGATACACGTATAAACTGATCTGGTCAGAAGTCAGAAGGACCTATATAGTCAGAAAGAAATGTGAATATTTGTCTCTTATAGTGTAACCATAGAGTTCTAGATAATTTTTGCCATTAAAAAATATATATAATCACGTGACTAACCCGGGTCCGGGTAGTCCTGTGGGTACCCGGGTCCTACCCACCCGACCTGAGTTAGCACTTCTATATCAAAAGACAGATGAGGGAACTTTAATTCCATTAACCAGATATCAACTAATTTTGTTACTAACTGAAAAAATTATCATAAATTCTTTGAAAATTTTGAAACAAAGTTGAACCAAACATATGACATGCACTTCCCTTTGAGATTGACATTTAGCAAGCAGTTTTTATTCAGCATTTTTCGCTTACATTCATTCATATTGTCGCCCACTCAATCAAACACAAATAATTTCTTACGTTGATACAGTTTGGCCCTCACTTCATGAAGGTTCACACTCCAATGAACTCACACAAAGTGAAAGTCATTTCTTAAATGCCTGCACAGAAAATATGTTGAAGCTGTTACATCATGGCAGGCTGTGACAAGAGACACAGAGCCAGGCAAACCAGGAACTCAAACCATGACTGCAAGAGCTAAACTAGATTCCATTAGGGCACTATAACACACAATCATCCAGTCACACAGTGTTATAACTCCATCCTCCTCAGTTGACTTTATTGAGAAGCAACACATACTAGTTATTAGAACTGGTCCTCGGGTCGAGTGGGTAGGGAGTAGGATCCGGGTTCCCAGTCACGTGATGTATTGTTTTATGAGAAAAATTCAATACTTTAACTCCATGGTTACCTACAAGTCTCTTCGCATATCTCTCTGACTATTACCCGAATTCCTTCTGACGTTTATATGTCTTGAGTAAAGATACAACTTCAGTAAACTTCAGTGTATGCATTACCAGATTGTTTTATACGGGTATCTAAATACTTTTTGCCAGGGGTACAGTAAAACAATGCCTTATTAGACATTTTGTAACCAACTCTTGAGACCTACTGTAGGTATCCAGGTAGGGTCGGGGTTTAATAGGGCGTTGTGTTTGGGGTTAATAGGGGGTCGGGTACCCTGGTAGTAAATGATTTGGACTCGTCCCAGCCCTACTAGTTATGTTCTGTCTGGAATCCAAACATGCCAGTCGGGGCTCATTCTGCACCATGCTTACCTACGGCAACACCATCTAGTTTGACCGAGCCTGTGAAGATCCTGTCTACTGCCACCACCACACTCTGCGAGCTCGTCTCCCCAACTGTCTCATGAAAGTTGGCCAGCCGCTGACGGTCCAGGGGCCCCCGGGCAATCACTGGAGACGAAAACAACACACAGACTTGACACCTACATTAGATCACAACAGCACATACATACAGGCCATTGGTTGTATTTAACTCCATGTGGAATTGGCTTGCCAGCACATTTGAGATGCAAATTGACATGCCAAATAGGCTTGACTATCTCCCAGCTGTATTCCGCGGTCATGGAATATTTTGCAGAAATGTCAACTCAGTGTAGAGTGAGTGAGTGAGTGAGTATGGTTTTATGCCAACTTTAGCAATATTCCAGCAATATCCCGACGGGGCACACCAGAAATAGGCTTCACATATTGTACCTATGTGTGGAATCAAACCAGGGAATTTGGCGTGATGAGCGAATGCTTTAACCACTAGGCTATCCCACCACCCATCACTTAGTGTAGAAAAGTAGCCATCTTGCAGAAATCACTTGTACAGAATTTTAATATGTTTTGGCTGCAGAAAACAGCACCTACTGTCTAGGGCAATAACCACTACTAAAGTATTTCAGTAGTTTAAACCACTATTGCAGCAACTGTTTCAAAAGTATTGCTATGATGCATACCATTACAAAAAACCATGTCAGCAGTTTGCTAGAGAAGGTGTTCGTGAGTGAATGGGTTCAGTGGTCTGATGAATATGAGTGTGTGAGTTGGTTTTAACACTACTTTGAACAGTATTTCAGTTATATCACAGTGTGTCAGCTTACTGTGGGAGGAAAGACCGAAGTGATGCAGGGATTCGAACCCATGATAATAGGTTTCGTACATGCCCAAGGGACACGACTTGGCACATCGAATTATGCCACCATAGACTAATGGGTAAACTCACAGATACAATTAAAAGTTGGAATACCTCGACTGCACAAGCCAACATTCACTTTACATTTTGTGATCAGTACAAAGATTATTTATAAGATACTTAAAGTTAGTCAAGAGCCTCACTACCTTCGGGGTCGAACGCTTCCACTGGGTGACCAGCCTGAGAGTGGCTGGAGTGTCCTGAGATGTATTTTGTTTTCACACCAGTGCCGATTAACTGTGCTAGCTCTAACTGAGAGATGCATCGCAGGATCTAAAAAGAGAAAATAAACATCAAAATATAAAATGTCTTCTGTGCATGCAGGTTGAAGATCCTTTCTTTCAATATCAGCGTAAATAAGAAAGCAAAGTCATCCATTTCCCCTGCCATCGTTGTATCCTTTCAGTTGTAAAGAAATCATTTTATATTTCCGTGACAACATGAAGCACCAGTCCAAAACCCTGATAAATTTGCAAGGTTGATTGGATAGATTATGAAGGTTTCAGAGTTTGGCATCAGAAGCACCTTACCCTCATTGGAACTTGTCTAGAAACTTTAATAAAGAAATAGTGAACGGTTAACGAGTAGCATTCCTGTCAAACTTTGATTGGAGATAAAAACATGTAACCCAGGTGTCAAAATGATTTTTTTCGACTTCAGGGTGTTATTGATGCAGAATAATCAAAATATTTGCTCCACTGAGCTCAACAGTTCTTTGATGAACATACAGATTAAAACACTCACCTCCAACCACGACTTGCCCAGGTAGTTCCCATCCGTATGGGCCACGGAGATCAGGGTTTTGATAGTGTCTATATTTTTAGCTTTCATCTCGGTGATGGGTGTTGCACAAGTTAGAAGGGTGAAGCGGGCCAAGGCTTGAACATAAGCATCTCGCTCCAGCTGAAAGTGAATCTACTACAGTTAGTATCTGCGTCCACACGGAGACCAGTTCCTGCTGGGTGCTGCAGGCCTGACATACGGAAGCTAGGGGTACTGATGTGATGAACCATTTATTGTTTTGTTTGTTGTTTAACGCAGCACTCAGCAATATTCCAGCTATACGACAGCAGTCTGTAAATAATCGAGTCTGGACCAGACAATCCAGTGATTGATGTCATGAGCATCAATCCACCCAATTGGGATCAATGACATGCATCAACCAAGTCAGCGAGCCGGACCACCCGATACCGTTAGGGGCCTCTTATGACAAACATAGCCACCTTTTACGGCAAGCATGGGTTGCTGGAGACCTGTTCTACCCTGGATCTTCACGGGTCTCAACCATTCATTACTGGACATCAGTCCTGATACAATCATAAGATGATTCATCTTTTGACTCAAAGAGAGGGAGTGAGTATAGTTTTATGCCACTTTTAGCATTATTCCAACAATATCACGACTGGGGACACCAGAAATAGGCTTCACAAATTGTAACCATGACTGGAATCAAACCCAGGTCTTCGCCGCGACGAGGGAATGCTTCAACCACCAGGCTATGCAACCACCCCTGACTAAAAGTCATAATCAGTCTCTTGAATCATAAGAAGTTAGACTTACCTCCATGTGGAAAATACAGGCTATCCTAATTGCACATCGGATGCCATCCAAACAAAGGGAGGCAATTTCTGGATCATCACAGTCTTGGAGACCCACACTAAATGCTGCCAAGAAAGGAGTCCATGCCATCTGTGGATAATAGAGCACATACTGTGAAAGCATTTCTTGTAAAGGCGTACATGAAGTGAGTGAGGGTATGGGGAGTGTGGTTCCTGCGTGTGTACAGTATTTCAGTAATATCATGGTGTGTCAACTTGATTTGGGAGAAAAGCCTGCAGTAATGCAGGTCTTGAATGATTACCACTTTGGTGAAACCAACTCATAACACGATCAGCGGATCCTGGCACAAGTAAGGGATGTAACACAGCAATAACCCTCATAGCTCCAGTTTTGAATGAGAACATAATGAACATGTGATATGCTTACCTTAAACATTGGTCGGACATGTTCTAGGTGAGTTGCCATTGTGAAGCTGGACTGGACATGACTGACACTCTCCATCAACACCTTGGCCGTCTGGGCCATGTTCTCCATCTCCAGATTGTACAGCAACCGCCGCTGTTTGTCGCTGGTGATCTCCTCTGCAGGCAGACAACGAAACAGTATTGTGAGGTTGGTTTCACATTGTATTGAACAGCATGGTGGTGCATGCTCCCAACCCCCCTAGATAGCCTAGCGTTTCACATTGTTTTGAACAGCATGATGGTGCATGCTCCCAATCCCCCTAGATAGCCTAGCGTTTCACATTGCTTTAAACAGCATGATGGTGCATGCTCCCAACCCCCCTAGATAGCCTGGCATTTCACATTTCTTTGAACAGCATGGGGGTGCATGCTCCAACCCCCCTAGATAGCCTAGCGTTTCACATTGCTTTGAACAGCATGATGGTGCATGCTCCAACCCCCCGAGATAGCCTAGCGTTTCACATTGCTTTGAACAGCATGGGGGTGCATGCTCCCAAACCCCCTAGATAGCCTAGCGTTTCACACTGCTTTGAACAGCATGGGGGTGCATGCTCCCAACCCCCCTAGATAGCCTAGCGTTTCACATTGCTTTGAACAGCATGGGGGTGCATGCTCCCAACCCCCCTAGATAGCCTAGCATTTCACATTGCTTTGAACAGCATGGGGGTGCATGCTCCCAACCCCCCTAGATAGCCTAGCGTTTCACATTGCTTTGAACAGCATGATGGTGCATGCTCCCAACCCCCCTAGATAGCCTAGCGTTTCACATTGCTTTGAACAGCATGATGGTGCATGCTCCCAACCCCCCTAGATAGCCTAGCGTTTCACATTGCTTTGAACAGCATGGGGGTGCATGCTCCCAACCCCCCTAGATAGCCTAGCGTTTCACATTGCTTTGAACAGCATGGTGGTGCATGCTCCAACCCCCCCTAGATAGCCTAGCGTTTCACATTGCTTTGAACAGCATGGGGGTGCATGCTCCCAACCCCCCTAGATAGCCTGGCGTTTCACATTGCTTTGAACAGCATGGGGGTGCATGCTCCAACCCCCCTAGATAGCCTAGCGTTTCACATTGCTTTGAACAGCATGGGGGTGCATGCTCCCAACCCCCCTAGATAGCCTAGCGTTTCACACTGCTTTGAACAGCATGGGGGTGCATACTCCAACCCCTCTGGATAGTCTAGCGTTTCACATTGCTTTGAACAGCATGGGGGTGCATGCTCCAACCCCCCTAGATAGCCTAGCGTTTCACACTGCTTTGAACAGCATGGGGGTGCATGCTCCCAACCCCCCTAGATAGCCTAGCGTTTCACATTGCTTTGAACAGCATGGGGGTGCATACTCCAACCCCTCTGGATAGTCTAGCGTTTCACATTGCTTTGAACAGCATGGTGGTGCATGCTCCAACCCCTCTGGATAGTCTAGCGTTTCACATTGCTTTGAACAGCATGGGGGTGCATGCTCCCAACCCCCCTAGATAGTCTAGCGTTTCACATTGCTTTGAACAGCATGGTGGTGCATGCTCCAACCCCTCTGGATAGTCTAGCGTTTCACATTGCTTTGAACAGCATGGGGGTGCATGCTCCCAACCCCCCTAGATAGCCTAGCGTTTCACATTGCTTTGAACAGCATGGAGGTGCATGCTCCAACCCCTCTGGATAGTCTAGCATTTCACATTGCTTTGAACAGCATGGGGGTGCATACTCCAACCCCTCTGGATAGCCTAGCCTTTCACATTGCTTTGAACAGCATGGTGGTGCATGCTCCCAACCCCCCGAGATAGTCTAGCGTTTCACATTGCTTTGAACAGCATGGGGGTGCATGCTCCCAATCCTCCTAGATAGCCTGGCGTTTCACATTGCTTTGAACAGCATGGGGGTGCATGCTCCCAACCCCCCTAGATAGTTTAGCGTTTCACATTGCTTTGAACAGCATGGGGGTGCATGCTCCAACCCCTCTGGATAGTCTAGCGTTTCACATTGCTTTGAACAGCATGGGGGTGCATGCTCCAACCCCTCTGGATAGTCTAGCGTTTCACATTGCTTTGAACAGCATGGAGGTGCATGCTCCCAATCCTCCTAGATAGCCTAGCGTTTCACATTGCTTTGAACAGCATGGAGGTGCATGCTCCCAATCCTCCTAGATAGTCTGCATCTGCGTCGCTCACGGCTAACATGTTCAAGGGGACCCCCTTTATTGTGGAGACCAATGCAAACACTGCCAGTAATATCATGGCATGTGAGTACACTGTGGGAGTTAAGCCAGAAGTGATGTAGGTCATAGAATTTAACCACTTTGGTGAAACCCACAAGCATGTGTATGATGCTGACAAACCTAGAATTAAAATGAGGGCCAACCGGGATTCGAACCCATGATCATAGGTTTCTGGCACAGCAAATTGCTGCTCTTAGACATCCTATCTGTACCCCTGCAATGCCTGAGACAAACAAACTAAGTGGTCAAGCCCCCTAATAAACAAGCAAACTTTTCTGCAGCTCTGACAAAGCTGATAAGGCATCAATTTTGTTAATCTGCTAGACTTTAAGGCCAGACACGGCACCTTAAATTAACATAATTGCTTCAATATGTCAAAATCGAGATTTTGATTTTTTTCGCATATATAATACATGTACTTTGTGATGCAACATGTTTTTTACGATATTGTGTACATTTACTGAATAAAAAACGTTATTAAAATCATAATGTGTGGTATTGTTTTTAAATATGATCGTAATCAATGTGGAAAAACCTGAACTTTCACCCATGACAACGCCCCCGCAGCTGTAACGAACCCCTTCATGTTATACATCGATAGAAAGCTGATCGTTTCCGCCATCTTTCTGTGCAAAAACATTCTAAAAATAGATATTCCACGTGAGGCTATCGTCGGTTTTTCCCGCGAGACATTCGTACGTAAATTACCATTTAAGGAGAAATATCCCGTAATGCAACATTCGGGAATATTCGTTCGATCCAAATAAAGTAAAACGTATCCCACAATGCACCATTCGGCTTAGCAACAAAACACCGGTCTTTTCCGGTAGGTATACAAAATGGCGGCTGCTTTGCGAAAAGATTGACAGGCAAACATCGTTTTTGATATTTTCTTAACTGAAAATTGTTGTATTTTTTTAAAATGAGGTCAAAACACGGGTCACAACACGCCTATGGTTAGAATAGGAGGCGAAGGGCAAGTCAGTTGAAGCAGGCACGTTCGAAATGCGGTGTTAGAGTTACGACCCGTGTTGACAGCGCGATCATCCCTGTGTCAGATTCTGACAGCTTGGACGTTTTAGATGCATCGGAATCATCCGGGGACCACGCCGTTGGGGAAAACATCCCCGTTGGAGACAATGAAGGTGAGAATTATTTTTTATTGAATGCAACTTCACGCAGCGACATAAAACTATCAAAATTTAAAGCTGCTGAAAATATCAAATCTCCCGTGCTTGACAATGATGAACCAAAACCTCAATGGATGTTAATTGACATGAGACAAATGAATTTATTTTTTCAAGAGATTGAATGCCTATCATGTCACGAACAGGGGTCTTTGTTGTTTGAAAAGAGTGACAATTTTGATAGATTTGGATTTGCTGTAAACGTTATGTTGACATGTCAAAACTGTCAGATGTGTGTTGCAAAAAATTACACTTCACAAAGGTAAGGTAATCAATCTGGTACCAATCCCTTTCAGGTCAATGACATTTTTATGCTCTGTCAGAGGTAGGACTTGGTCATGCTGCAATGAAAATGTTTTATCTGGGTTTTGGAATGGAAGGTCTCCATCCTAAGACATTTCAACAAAAACAAAACATTCTTTCACAGGTTGTTGTTGAAAATACTAAGGAAGTTTTGTCAACATCAGACATTGTCTCGATGCAGAAATTGCAGAAAAGATGGTACCTGTGTATCAAAGAATGTCTGATGAAAACCTCCTTAAGAGGATGGTGAAAGGCAAGACACAGAATGCTAATGAATGCTTGCATTCCGTGATCTAGTCCCGTTGTCCGAAGACCATTTTTGTGGGTGCAAGGCGGTTGCATCGGGCAGTGGCGTCTGCAATAGCTTCGTTCAATGAGGGTACATGTCACATTACTCAGGTAATTAACAAGCTTGCAATAGAAGCTAATGAAATAACAGCAGCTTCTATTGAAAGACTTGATAATGTGAGAACCCTCAAAGCAAGGAAGCAAAGCCAGGAGACATCTAAGATAGAACGTAGTGCAAAGTGGGAGGCTAAAAAAAGGGACCGAGTTCATGTTGAGGCAGCTGAAGGCTTGTTGTATGGTGCTGGGGAGTTTTAAGTCCTGTTATTTCTTTGTACATGCATTGTTTTATGTATCTTGAATACATCCCATCAGTAAACTAAGATTTTGTAAGTGTTTAATAGGTGCTGAAGGAAGAAAACCATGTACAAACTTATTTCCTCATTTTCTCCATTAACGTCATTTTGGATCTTAGTGAACATAGATCTCAACCATTATTGGCCCGATTTGAATGAAATTTAGTGTACATATAGGCAGAGGATTACTTTACACAATAACAGAGAGACTTTTTAAAATTTGTTTGCCATTTTGATTTAAAAAAATAAATTATGGGTAAAAATCAACCTAAAAAATGTGAAATTTTGAAAAATTATTTTAAAAATATATACCAGTCTTTTTTCAATTTTTCTCTCTGTCATTGTACCCAACACCATACAAGCTTTGTTATACAATTGAAATTATATAAATATCTTTATTGGTCTTAGAGAAAAACTGAAACTAATTTCAATCTTTTTCAGGCTTGCGGCGGCCATCTTGGATGTTTCCATGGCAACCGGTGGCAACATCACCTGGAAAAGACTCCATTTCAATTGTTAATATGTATACCTCAAAGTTGTAACCAATTAAAACTAACAAATACTTGTGAAGCATTTTGTCAATTGTAAGGTGCAGTGTCTGGCCTTAATATAACACGTGCTGCTTGACTGCACATAGAGATCTGGTGACTCACTTGCTGACTTGCTTGGTTTCTGTCCTCCAGTTGCCTTCATCTTGATCTCGTTGCCAGCTATCTCATCATAGATGACAGACAGGTACTCCTCTGGCAGGTCCTTGCTGTCGTTGATGCCGCGGTTCATGCGGATGTATTGCTCCTTGGTCATTTTGTGCTCTCTCTTCACCTGAAGTACCAACACATATTCCCATATCACTGGGTAGGACAGGGACCAGTCCAAACTTATTACCCAGGTACCTGACCCCCTATTACATGACCTGACCTGAAGTAACAACACATATTCCCATATCACTGGGTAGGGCTGGAACCAGTCTAAACTTATTACCCGGGTACCTGACCCCCTATTACGTGACCCGACCTGAAGTAACACGTAGTCCCATAGCAGTGGGTAGGGCTGGAATCAGTCCAAACTTATTACCCAGGTACCTGACCCCCTAGCACGTGACCCGACCCTGATACCCACTTCTTCACCGACCTTCACAATTACATTTGTGGAGAGTAAAGAAAGTGGAGAGTTTGATTGGAACCTACAGGGTAATACCAGGTTGATGTTAGTGAGTGAGTGAGTATGGTTTTACACCGCTTTTAGAAATATTCCAGCAATATCACGGTGGGGGACACCAGAAATGGGCTTCACACATTGTACCCATGTCGGGAATTGAACCCGGGTCTTCGGCATGAAGAGCGAATGCTTTAACCACAAGACTAACTGACCGCCCCGATTGATGTTAGCATCTATGAACTGCTTTGCGACTGTACCTGTGTACTGTGTAGGTCTGTAGTGAGCATGATGATTGAGTACGCCAACACATAAGCTGTGTCGGCACTTGCAAACAGCTCCGTCCTGAAAACACAACACATGAAGTCATCAAATACCGGTTCTCTTGTGGGACATTCACATTTACATGTGACATACTATTAATGAATTTATAAAATTACTGCAAATAAATCATGGAACCACATATATAACTAAATTATTATTTCAGAGGCCCTTTAATTCAATGAAGAGTGTCATTATCCTTTTATCTACACCATCAAACGGATAGCTCCCTTGACCTCAAAAGATTAACCTTACTGCACATTAATAAAAACTATTAAAATGATATTTTGTGGTTTGTTTGTTTTTTAAAGCTGCTCTACGCAATATTCCAGCTATATGACGTTGGCCTGTAAATAACAGAGTCTGGACCAGACAATCCAGTGATTGACATGATAAGCATCAATCGCTGCAATTGGGATGGGTTGCTGTTGACTTATTTTACCCCAAGTGGTGGTTGTTTCTAGTTCAACACCGAACTCAGCAATATTCCAGCTATGAAGGATGTCTGTAAACAACTGGCGTCCGGACCAGACAATTAAGAGACTGATATTGTGAACAATAATCTACACTGTAAGGGTATGATGACCCACAATCAACCAAGTCTCCGATTCTGCACATTTGATCCATTTAGTCAAGTCTTACGACCAGCGTAGGTTCCTGTCAACCTATCTTAACCTGGATTGTGGTTGTTTATTTGTTGTTTAGCGCTGCATTCAGCAATATTTCAGCTATATGGTGATGGTCTTAAAAACGAGACTGGGCCAGGAATCCAGCGATTGACAAGAGCATCCATCCATGCAGTTGGGATACAATGAAATGCATCAAGCAAGTCAGCGGTTCTGATCAATCGATCGCGTCTAACCAGTAATCCGTATGGGTGAAGATATTTCAGATAGCCACTTACTGCGAACTACAAACACAGTATCGAGATGCAAATTTCTCCATGAGTCTATCTATTTTCTGAGCTTCGCCAGGCAATCGGAAACCTTCCAAGAACTTCCTCAGTGCAGGTACAAAGTCCATTTCGACGAAGTCCAACTGGTCGACATAGGTGTACATGACTTCCTTGTTAAATCTGCGCAGAAAGAAACCAGTGTTAGTGCAAAGAATGATTAGTTTCTTCATGAATAACAATCACATTTACAGAATCAGTTTAAAATGATGTAATGAGAATAGAATGTAATTGATAGGAGCAGATTTACTAACTTTTCATTTTCTCCCAAGAAATCACCCAGTGCCGTCTGAAATTAAAACATTTTAGGGATTAGGTGTGAAAGATATAAATACTGCTTATTATAACATGTTATTACTTAACACAATATGCAACCTTTAGACTACGAGTTGCGACGGTAGTCGCGCAGGTCTACCACATATGTCAGTGGGTGTCGCGACAATAGTCGCACTGAAAACTAGAAAATGGAAAACGACACATACTTCCATCATTCAGTCAAGTAAACATCGCTGCAAAGTTGTTTGGGAGGAATATAAAGTACATTGGTTCCTTCAGAATCGATCTATGAATCTGTGTCTAAATTTTTAAAAGATTTCATTAAAAAACAGCATACTCCTCGAATACCTATGAGGACAACCTGCTCATCATTGCACGATCTTTAGACCTTCAAGTTGGTTGCAAAATGTAAAAAAAATGTAGGGTCACATGAATTTACTAGTGAAAATAAGTAGTGAAAATGTAAATATTGTCATTCATTACGCCATACTTAACACTGCCACCTGTAAATTGTTAGTGTGCCAGGTATTGGCCATCCTGTCTACGATAAGAGCACATACATGTATCGTGATAAGTATCAGATCGTGAGCAAGGTATCATGATATGTATCAGATTGCACAGTTAGTATATCGTCCCAGCCCTACTATGAACAGAGTCAAAATCAAACAAGTTGCGAAGAAAACAGGTAATTATTTTCTTTTAAATTCCTAAATAGCAAAAGGCACCACTTCAGCCCTTGGTTAATACATGCACCATGTCTGGATGAAAAGTCTTTCACAGTTTTCAAGTTGTGCTACGGAACCGACAAATACCCCAACCCTCTTGAGAATAAGTCCAAATTGTTTTCATGGAAATTGAGAACAATATGAATGCCAAAAATCTAAGGCTCCACTTCAGAATCTGTTTGATATATCTGTCAAATTTTGCTGAAAGATACAGAACGCTTTTTGAGTTGTGCTCCGGAAACAAAATCCAGTTGGTGATCAGTGGTGTGTATTTTCTTTGAAGAGGTAACAGAGTGCAAGTTAAGTGGGTTAGCAAGCTGGTAAAACACACAAACAAGGGAATGAATATTACTTGGTGAACCTAGGATTTGAATCCAGGATGGGATCTAGGCATGAGTAAGTGATGCACCTCTGCACAGCAATCTGCTGCGCCTTAGATGGCTCAGCCATCTGTGTGCTCTGGCTCAAGGCTTCTGCGTGTGGTCCACTGGTTGAAACATGTCTACATATGACAATAGCAAAAAAAATTACCACAATTATTGTCGGACATTACCTTATCTAGCCTGTCTTCGGAATGGAAAAACTCAGCAATGTCATCAGGACTTTTACCCAGCAGGCCTTGTTCTTGCAAATATGCTATCCCCTTTGCAGGCTTTTTGTGAAATCTGCAGAATATAGGGTTTGTCTGTCATAATAGATACCATGGTTTCCTTACCAACCTTCTTTTCCTAAATAGCAATCAACCATGCATCGAAGCAAACCATTCTTAAAAAGTCAAATATTGATTGACGACTTGATAACAAAGCTTTAAAATGAATGAACTTGTGCTCTTGAATAACTGTAGTTTTGACACCAATTTTCAATACCATGTTCATGCATGATAATCTTTTTTTGCAAAAATTTACAGAACAAAACAAGTTAGGGGGCATGAAACATTTTTATATGTGAAATATGACATTGTGTGATCAGTCTTCACTTACAAAAAAATATCCCCTAAAATATTCATGATCCCTAAGTTCTCTGTTCAGGATATTTTGCAATTGAATTAAATTTCATTCCTTGAACCACTCACATTTCAATTCCGGTTTCCATGGTCTCCTTCTGCTGCTTGAGGACCTCGTATTGTTCGGGGTTGTCTGGGGCAGCACTGGTTGTCATCTGGGAACTGCTGTTAGAGCTGAGGGAGTTACTGCTGCCATAGCTTGTTATTGTCCCCTTGAAGGAGTCATTGTCAGTCTCCGTGTGGGGCTTGTTGTCCTGGCCTGGGAACAAACATCAGTAGTGATTTGTTGATTGGTTGTTTTGTTGTTTAACGTTGCACTCAGCAATATTCCAGCTATATGATGACGGTCTGTAAATAATTGAGTCTGGCCCAGACAATCCAGTGATTGACATAATCAGCATCGATCCACGCAATTGGGATACGATGACATGCATGAACCAAGTCTGGAGCCTGACCACCTGATTCCTTTAGTCGCCTCTTACGACCCTGGCTCTTTACGGGTTTATCAGTAAAGAGAGAGTTGGGTTTAATGTCGCTTTGAACAGTATTTCAGTAACATCATGGCATGTTAGCTTGCTGTGGGAGGAAAACATGATGTAGGTCTTCGATGTTGCGCTTGTGAAACCAACGAGGATTGTATGGTACTGACAAACCTTGAAACCTAATCACGTCAAACTGCGATTGGAACCCATGATCACAGGTTTCTGCAGTGCCTTGGGGACGCAGTTTACACAGCTCTTTGTTGCGCATTCAATGACTGGGAAACAAGTACCGAGTTTTAGCAGTGATATATTCTTAAGTCTACTTGACTAGCACACATTCAGACTCCTCTGCCATCAGCCACACATACCACCATCCCCCAGCTGAGACCAGCACAAGCACCTACCTAGGTTAGACTGGGAGTGGGGGTTGATGTAGAGATCCTTACTCCACTCCACCATGCACTTGAGGATGGACACCAGGCACATCAGACCCTTGATGCGCATACTCTTCTCTTGGTTTGGGGAGGCCCCTGGAATTGTAGAAGAAATTGAAGCATCGTTTTGAAGCATCGTTTAAAAGGAGTGAGTATCGTATATGACCGCAGATAAGCCAACTCTGTACATAAGCCATTCAATTGACCATTTGAATATTAAAGAACATGATATGACCCGTAGATAAGCCGAACCAGGAAGTGAAAGGCAACGACACCCCGCTAAGTCGGACTGCAAGACTGTACTGTACAAACCAGTCATCCATTCCCCTAATGTGGGAAGCTGTTTCTGTTCTCTTTTTTTAACCTCATGATTCGTTATGTTGCCATCAACAACGAGACGCAATTTTGGGAATCGGTGTATATAGAATTATGAACCCATGAGAAAATGTCTCAGCTAGAGCGACGACTCGCAGTTTGAATGCAGCATTGTAGGCATGGCATTTTAGTTTCAAACTCATGATGAGAATGTCAGTCAGTAAAGTGAGTAAGCATGGTTTTACACCACTATTAGCTTTGTTTGTGTGTTGCTTAACGCCGTACTCAGCAATATTCCAGCTAAATGACAGCAGTCTGTAAATAATTGATCTGGACCAAACAATCCAGTTATTGGTATCATGAGCATTGATCTTCGCAGTTGGGATACGATGACATGCATCAACCAAGTCAGTGAGCTTGACCACCCGTTAGTCGCCTCTTACAACAAGCCTAGTCGCCTGTCACGGCAAGCATGGGTTGCTGAAGTGCCATTCTTACCCAGATCTTCACGGGTCCACAATTAGCAATATTCCAGCAATTTCATGGATGGGGACACCAGCAAATGGCTTTACACAGTGCAGTCATGTGATGAATCAACAAACACTTTACTTACAAGGCTACCCCACCTCCACTACATTAGATTGAATCTAAGATGATAAACATCAGAAAATCATTAATATTCACATGTACTTCATTATTTATTTTTTCTACTGAAGCAGAGGTTCCCCACCATCCCATGAATAAGGAAGAGAGGGAAAGGCCAAGAATGTGAGGAGTAGCCTTGACATGACGAAGGAGGTCGAAGACTAAAACATGAGCTGACTTAAATACTCACCCAACTCCATTGCCTGTCTGCCCTGTGCAATCTTTGATAGATCATTAACAAGTCTCTCAAAAATATTAGCCAGGGCCAAATCACAGTCATAGTTGAGGTAGATGTCCACCACACACTGAGCATCTGAAAACAGCACAGTTACCTCCCTTAGAAGTTGACTCCTCTTACTGGCAAATTGGCAATGTCCAAATTGATACAAGCGTGACAATGATATATCATGATTCAAGGTTAACTGTTAAAAGAATACATACAAGGCATATGTGTCATAATGAATTCACTCACCCACCAACACTGCTGAAGTCATACAGACACAGTTGTCAAAATGGTTCTAATGTTATTTGTAAGCACGCTTTAAGCTTCAAGAGAGTTTTCAGAGTGGACGCCACTACTTCCTCACTAGATAATTCTACAGTCTGGATAATTAAATAGTATGTGTGTGAAAGACTCAGAATGAAGTTTCCATATGAGAGAATGCACAAAATCAAACAATCTTCCTAAAATAGGTAGGACACACACACAGAGTTCATTTACTCAGAACTAGTATACATACAAATTGATAAAAACAAACATTTCCAAGGCCCTTTAGAAAGTGGTAAAATGTAACAAATGTTATTTTTGGGATAACACTTTCTTAGTAAAGTACAGATGCTAGTACTTTTGGGGGTTGAGTCCCATCCAGGATTTGAACCCACACTGCCAGAGTGAGGCATCTAATCGCCAGCACACAAACAATTTCAGCTTGTTTGATAATATCAGGGCCCCATTCCACTATAATGAGCATAACTAACATACTTCAATATTAGCATTAGACAGTCAAGATCGTTTTGTGGAACAGTTCCAAGCACTCTACCTTGAGGTATGAGGACGAGATTCAATCAAATGCAACATTAATCTGTTGTTTAGTTTTCAACCTGAGTGATAACATCAGCACTATTTCTTGGCATATGAGGACAACATTGGAATCAAATATAACATTTACTCTAAATCTTGAAATTAATTTGTCTTCAAATTAATTTGACTACTGACCTCCAGCAAAAAATGTGACTCAATATTTATGTGACTTCCCGCCCCATCCCCAGATTTACATGCTTGCCTTAATCCTATCAACAAGCAAATAGCACTGCTCATTACGGCTGGGGAAAGCACTTCCGTAAAAATATACAATAAACAGTATTTTCCTAAAAACAACACACAGTTTATATGTTTATCCTGTTGATTGGCATTAAGGAAGTTCAAAGGTAATAAAATAATTGAACTAACAACAGTTTTCGGATTTAATTCACACTCGCATTAATTCCCAGATGCACAGTATCTGTTGTTGTTTGGGAAGGGTCGTAGCTCACCTGCACAGATCCTCGTGAGTGCCTGTATCACCATCCACTTGTGTTCAAATGAGCTGCTGGATGTTTCCAGAATGTATAGGAATATCTCCTTGAAGAACACCTGAATCAAAACAACTTGTTTACTCAAACAGCACGATGTAAGGAGTAAGCATATACTCCGAAACTATGTGTTCCCCATAATAAAGAAGTTGACATCCATATATTCTCTTCCTTATGTGTATCACTTCTAAATGCCTTTCAAAGTCCCGAGCACAATGTAATATGGCTCTATGCCATGAGGACTGCCTCCGTGGTCTTGTGGTAGAGCGTCTGCCCAGAGAGCGGAAGGTCCGGGGTTTGATCCCCGGCCGTGTCATACCAAAAGACGTTAAAAGATGGTACTTGTTGTTACCCTGTCTGGCGCTCAGCATTAAGGGGCTAAAACAAGGACTGGTCGGCTCGGAGTCAGTATATTGTGTCTGAGTGGGGTATTCATGTTAAACTGCGGCATGGTATCTCAGTGAGCTAGCACTATAAATCGGCATCAGTCCGGACTAGTACAAGCAGCCACACACACATGCACTTGCATTTCCCCATTCACCTCGCCTCACTCACTACATCAGTGAACATATTCATCTGTATTGACGCACAGGTGGCCCAGTTTTCTGGCACCACAATTCGCTGTGCAGAGTTGGACATGCAGGAAACCTATGATCGTTGGTTCGAATCCCAGTTTGCCACACAAACACACACACGTACATGCACGTCGCTATATGAGTGCAATAATCTTGGACGCGATGTTAAACCCCATTTCACCTCACCTCACCTATGCCATGAGCACTTGCTGCTGTCCAGTACAAGTGTCTAGTCATATAACAGCTAGGATACAAAATACAATACAATTGAAGTACAATTAATGACTTCACACAGCACATACCTCGATCTGCATCTTGAGATGCTGTTTGAAGTTTGACAGCAGTGTGAGGAAGATGGCTAGTGACAATTCAAACACTTCTGGTACAGCACTCACACCATTTTTGGACAGTGCCACGCACAGGTATTGCTTGATGGCATTTATAAACATTTCATTTGTACGGAACACATGGCCTGCAGTCTGAAGGATGGAGAGCAGAAGCTGAAGTGACAAAATCTTTGACCTCAGCTCATGGGATCTGAAACAAAGAATTTGAAATTATTTCATTTAAAGACGAGCTTAGATCACAATAAATTCATAATTGTTTTCTGAGGATCCTTGTTTCAAAAGTGAGAATACATATGTGACTAATATTAAATTCACATAATTCATAAGTCAGCATTCATTATCAAATGTAGAAAACATCTTGACATTATATTAAAATTTTAAGAAACATCTCAACAACTGAAAGAATACCAAGGAATATCAATAACTAAAATTATAATTGAAGCTTTTTCCTTTCCTTAGGGACGGTTAACTAACCTATTTATGCCTTCCTATTGGCGTGTGGGTGGGGCTGAAGGTGTGGGTGTAAGAATTTTAATATACAGTATATAATCTGTTAATGATTAGAACATCAGTATCTTTCCTGGGTAAAGAGATTCCAATGAACAAATAATTTGTTGTGGCCTTTATGTAACCATCTGTCCACTGTCAACAGGAGACTCGTTAGCAGACTCCTCAAATACAGAAATGATTTAACTCATTCATTGCTAATCCTCATCTACCTTATTGCAGCATGATAAGGGAAGGAGACATGAAGAATAGGCTTAGCATGCAGTAACCATGTAAGGAATAGAACCAGGTGTTCAGTGTGATAGCCAAACACATTAACCACTGAGCTATCACTGCTCCTGCTTAACTAAAGACAGAATGGACTACAAGAAGGTAAGAACTTAAAACATGACAAGTGGCACTTACTTTGGATCAGGCGGGCCTTCCCCAAGTGGTTTCATGGACAGTTTACACAGACTGCGGAACACGAGGAACGCATCTTTCTGCAGGATGTGACTGAATGCCCCCTGCATCTGTTCCACGCCGTCCCCAGCCTCAATACTGTCATCTGACGTCAGACGTGAGAGTCCTGTAATAATGCAAATGGGACCCGAACCATTCAGAAAGTATCTTCATTAACAAACAAACCCATACATCAATGAATACATTATGAACATTAATACTTATTCACATGGTTTCCTAAATATTCAGACATAAAAGTTTGGTGTTGCTGACCACTTTGTAACATATTCATACAGTTATTTCTAGTTTGAGCAACCTTCAGGTTGGAAATTGTTTATGATAATTCAGAATTGACTTCAATATTTTTGGTGTTTATTGAAGTATACATGTAATAACTGGAGTGGACAATATGTAAATCTGTTGAATTATTTGATAGGCATTTCGTTAAAGCTGACGGATGACAAAGTAGACTGAATAAAAGTTCTTTATATCACTGTAAAGGGGATGTTTCGGTATAGATCCTTATACTAATGTCAAGCAAGGATCTAAACCAAAATGTCTGCTTTTACATTAGAATAAAGAAGTTGTTATCCATAAATTGTGTTTACTATGTAAATCTCGTGTTGCGGATTTATGCAAAGGGTCCACACAGTTCTTTACATTTATAACACTAAAAAAACAAAAAAATATTGAAATCAATTCATATGAATAAATATATAAACAATAACTTCACAGACTTCATATTTAATTATTAACACACAAAAAACTGTCAACAATTAGTATCATCATAAAAAAATGCAACACAAGCCCCTTCCGATTTATTGTCGCCAATCTGGAAACAAATGTCAGTTATTGGGCTATTTGTTTTTTTGTTTATGAAAACACAAACACAAATTAAATTGCTTGGTTAGTCAATTAAATGCCACGTAACCACTTCCTATTTATTTGAAACCAAGTAACATGGCATATTCTGAGAAAGTGTAATCCCATATATAACAGTTTACATGGCGTTAATAATAAAGGATGAATATGTAAAAGTAGAATGATCATATCGCATACAGATTCTTATAACAACAAAGTGTTCGAAGCTAAACAAGGTCCTCGGGCAGTGTCCGGAATAATTGCCTGCCCACCTGCCCCGGGCTGGTATCTTTTCTGTCGGGCTGCATGAAAGTTTCCTCCACTTAGCCTGATACTCTGGCAGATAATTTTAAGGCTACTTACGTACTCAGGTTTATTATAACTCCTGGTAGATTCCCAAGAAATTGTTTGCATTATTACAACTGAATCAAGACAAGAGTTGTCTCTTACTTTATTTCTTTTGTGATTTTTCAATATTAATAATGTCTGGAGGCGGGCAGGTAACTTAGAAGATGGGCAGGCAACACTTTTGGGTCACCTGGCCGACTGTCTTGGGTATCAAAATCATTTCAATCACTATCCTGGGATCCTTGTGGTTGCTCCTATAGTAATTGAATTGAGGGACCTGATAACTCAGTAACTCTTAACAGTGGGGACCCCTTGACCTTCATGCTTAATTTCGAAACACTGAGCTTGACATAAATTAAATATGAAGTAACCAATTCATAAAACTATTAATGGTCTGCAATATGGAGTGTGAAAGATATACAGTGTATTGTGCATATGATATACATGATGTGCAGTGCAGACAAAGAGAAGCCGAGAAAAGTTTATACTGAGTGATATATTATTAAAAGCTGAGAATGAGGTATGCTGACTGTCACATATAAGAAGGTGTTTGTTGTTTGGTTTGGTTTGTTGTTTTACTCCACACTCAGCAATATTCCAGCTATATGATGGCGGTCTGTAAATAATCAAGTCTGGACCAGACAATCCAGTGATTGACGCAATTGTTATCGGTGACATGCTTCAACCAAGTCAGCGAGCCTGACCACCCGATCCTGTTAGTCGCCTCTTATGACAAGCATAGTTGCAGGAGGCGACTAACGGGATCAGGTGGTCAGGCTCGGTGACTTGGTTGAAACATGTCATCAATCCCAATATAAGAAGGTGGAATACGGAAGGTGGAATATGGTATTCTGAGTATCATCTATATGAAGGCGGAAAACATATAAATAGGTGGAATATGGAATTTAAAGTATCACACATATGAAGGTTGAATTAGGTATGGTGAGAAATATAGCATGATATAGTATGCTGACTGTCAAATATAAGAAGGTGGAGCATAGTATGATGACTGTCACATAAAAGAGGGTGGAATATGGTATATATCACATACACAGTTGGAACAAGGCGATACACTGCACACCAACACAAAGCAAGGGCACTGTGGACACTGTACTGGGTGTCTGGGATGATATAGCATGTATTACATACACAGTTGAAACGAGGTGATACACTGCACACCAACACAAAGCAAGGGCACTGTGGACACTGTGATGATATAGCATGTATTACATACAGAGTTGAAACGAGGTGATACACTGCACACCAACACAAAGCAAGGGCACTGTGGACACTGTACTGGGTGTCTGGGATGATATAGCATGTATTACATACACAGTTGAAACAAGGTGATACACTGCACACCAACACAAAGCAAGGGCACTGTGGTCACTGTACTTGGTGTCTGGGATGATATAGCATGTATTACATACAAAGTTGAAACGAGGTGATACACTGCACACCAACACAAAGCAAGGGCACTGTGGACACTGTACTGGGTGTCTGGGATGATATAGCATGTATTACATACACAGTTGAAATGAGGTGATACACTGCACACCAACACAAAGCAAAGGCACTGTGGACACTGTACTGGGTGTCTGGGATGATATAGCATGTATTACATACACAGTTGAAACGAGGTGATACACTGCACACCAACACAAAGCAAAGGCACTGTGGACACTGTACTGGGTGTCTGGGATGATATAGCATGTATTACATACAGAGTTTAAACAAGGTGATACACTGCACACCAACACAAAGCAAGGGCACTGTGGCTACTGTATACATAGTTACAACACTATTACCTCCACCTTTCACCCCATCTACTGTAGGGGTGGGGTCAGGCTCAGGACCGGAGCTGGAACCTGGAGGAGGGAGAGGCTGGTCTGAGTTTGGGGAGGTAGGATCACCCTTCGGACCTACAGAGGCAAAATCCCACATCATGCAATCTCATTCCATTTGTAATCAAACCGTGCAATAGGTCTAAGCATTTCTTCAACAAGGCTTGCTAAGTGAAAGCTACAAGAGAAAAAGTGTGCCAACCAGAAACTCTAACTGGTGTTTTGTCAAAATAAGACATAAATAATAACTCATAACACATAAATGAAATCAGGACATACACATTCTTTCCGATCAAATATCTTGTATCTTATATTTTCTTGTTGCCTCTTATAGAATAGTCAATGTTTAAGTCTTTGGGAGTAATACTTTATAAAGTTTATAACAATGTAAACTAACACATTTAGTGTGTACCATAAACTATAAATAATAAAGTTATGAAGAAAATCAACATGTTTACAATAAGATCTGACTTGAGTGTGTACATTACAACAGCATGACTTTAAGTGTCATCCATGCCAAGTTCAGCTTCAAATACTCTGTTTCAACTATTTTGAAAGCATTAACAAAAGGACCAAAGTCTTCCATGAGACAAAAAATGTGTGCAATTTCAAAAGCAACTCTTAACTTGGGTGACTAATAGTCTGAAAATTGCTATTTGAAAAATCTAGAGCAGATGTCTCTCTTTTTATACCAGAAATGAAACAACTAAAATCTTATATAAAACACATCTGTGACATCATTCTATTGTTTGAACGCTCCCATTACTTTTCAGGAATGGAGAGTTGTTTGTCAACTATACATAATCTTGAACCAACATTTGAATTAATTTCCACTTGGAATAGATGGAACTATTTTTTACATTTATTGACAAGTAAATAATTTAAATTTCTTTCCAAAAGCATATTACATCGTTTGATTTGAAATCATGTGAAATTAACCATTAAATATTTTCATAATTTTGCAAAATGCTTAAAAGCTCAAAATAATATATATATAATTGTGTTAGAGCAGGTTACCTACAACAATGTTCATATTTACAGCAATAAGATAAACCTTTGACGAAAAATACAATTCAGGTAATATATATATCCTTGTTCGGGGCTCTATATTTCTTATTATGGAGCTTGGCAAATGTGCAACAGCGGCATAGAAAGCATTCCTCGTGCATCACGCAAGGGCGACTCACGCAGTATAAATACAGACAACAAAGAGTTCTGGTTTATTTTTCAAATATTTTCCACAACAGAATATTTTGTCAAAGTGTAAAAGTAGGGATAAGTTTTAAGTAGGGGAATATCCACAAACTCTCCTTTCCTTAAAAATAATGGGCTTCGGGTCATGTGGGGCTTCGGGTCATGTGGGGCTTCGGGTCATGTGGGGCTTCGGGCCATGTGGGGCCTCTGCTCCATTATTTTTAAGGAATGGAGAGCTACTCGGACATTCCCCTCTACATAGAGGCCATGACTTTTTTCCAGTTCATAGCTTTCACTTGATAACTTGTTGAAGAGGCTTAGATCTAAAACTCAAACTTAGATCAGTGACATGCCATGGAACAAATAAAATAGTGACCAGTAATATATGCATTATTTCTAAAAAAGAACAAACTTGAAAATGAACTAAAAAAGTCCAACAAACAAATTGCAGGCAAAACTAAAAACATGCGTGATCACGAAAAGAAAGTTGTACTTAAATACAAACAGTATGTGCAAGTCTGTCGAGATCAGCAAACAAAAAAGATCAGGGATTCAGGCTGTTACAATGGTTACTGTTATAATAAATTAAATTAAAGACTTTTCCCATCACAACTTTCGTAAAGATTGTTGATTATAAAGCAATAACGTGAATCCAAAATGTTAATTCAAACATTAATGACTGGAAGATTTCAATGCAACTGGCAACACAGCCTACCTGAAACAATCTGATCTAACAGTTCGTCAAGAATCCCTTGGGCAATATCTTCTGGAGATTCAGGTTCATTATTTTCTTGTTTTTCTGCAACAAACACAGGCAAGAAAACATGATATTTGAAAAGAAAGACATTTTCAGCCAGCAATATTCCAGTCCCATCACTACAGCTCACAGTGTATTTCATCACTTCTGACAGTCCCATCACTACAGCTCACTGTGTATTTCATCACTTCTGACAGTCACATCACTACAGCTCACAGTGTATTTCATCATGTCTAACAGTCCCATCACTACAGCTCACTGTGTATTTCATCAGGTCTAACAGTCCCATCACTACAGCTCACAGTGTATTTCATCAGGTCTAACAGTCCCATCACTACAGCTCACAGTGTATTTCATCATGTCTAACAGTCCCATCACTACAGCTCACTGTGTATTTCATCAGGTCTAACAGTCCCATCACTACAGCTCACAGTGTATTTCATCAGGTCTAACAGTCCCATCACTACAGCTCACAGTGTCTTTCATCAGGTCTAACAGTCCCATCACTACAACTCACAGTGTATTTCATCAGGTCTAACAGTCCCATCACTACAGCTCACTGTGTATTTCATCAGGGCTAACAGTCCCATCACTACAGCTCCCAGTGTATTTCATCAGGTCTAACAGTCACATCACTACAGCTCACAGTGTATTTCATCAGGTCTAACAGTCCCATCACTACAGCTCACAGCGTATTTCATCAGGGCTAACAGTCCCATCACTACAGCTCATGGTGTATTTCATCACGTCTAAAAGTAAGAGGTGAAACATCAACTGAGTGAGTGAGTATGGTTTTACGCCGCTTTTAGCAATATTCCAGCAATATCACGGCGGGGGACACCAGAAATGGGCTTCACACATTGTACCCATGTCGGGAATCGAACCCGGGTCTTTGGCGTGACGAGCGAATGCTTTAACCACTAGGCTACCCGACCGCCCTGAAACATCAACTGAAACATAATCAGTAAACATTTCGTCTTCCACCAACCTTGTTCTCCATTGTTGTCTGTCGTATCTCTGTCTTGTTCCACAGCATCGTTTTCCTCTGTCTTGAATGAAATTAAAGCGGATGAGTATTTGAGTGAATAATAAGCCCAATTACCTAAAAACAAAACTTTTGAAAACTTGATGTTTTGTTTGTTTGTTGTTTAACTCCACACTCAGATATATTTTAAGCTATATGATGGCGATCTGCAAAAAATCAAATCTGGACCAGACAATCCAGAGATTGATATCATGAGCAACAACCAACATCATGAGGTCCTCACGACAGGTAATCAACCAAGGCACCAAGTCTTACTGACAGATTCATTAAATTGCCTAGCATAGTTCGCTGGGGACTCTAACCTGGAATCCCAGTGGGGTTGTAAAAAAGACCCCAAGAGAATGTGTGAGTGTGAATGTGTGACTTAGTTGGGTTTAACACCGCTTTGAACAGTGTTCCAGTCATATCATGGTCAGCTTAATGTAGGAGGTAAACCCAAAGTGATGCAGGTCTCGAATGTTTACCACTTTGGTGAAACCCACGAGCATGAGTATGGTGCTGACAAACCTAGAAACATAATTGTGGTGATCCAGGACTTGAAACCATGATCATAGATTTCTGGCAATCCAAGGAACGCAACTCTCCATGGCGAATTGTGGCACCTATACGGCTGGGCCACCCATAATCCCCCTCCCCCTCCCCCCAAGACCATTGACAACATATCAAGTACTTGGAAGTTTGAGTCAAGAGGAATGTTGTTTTTAGGCCACAGAGCTGATGAGGTGTCTTGCTGGCGTATATAGTGGATCATAAAGATAAAGGCGTTTGAGTTTTCACTGTAATCTCCATTCAAGCCTTAACTAATTAGGTATAGGTGGCAAAATAATAAATTAACACATTAATTAATTAATTAACAAATATTATTCTTAATTTAGGAGGAATGTGTGCAATAAACATCTATCAGTTTCTGGACTATCAGACAGGATATAAAGTGAGTGAGTGAGTGAGTGAGTGAGTGAGTGAGTGAGTGAGTGAGTGAGTGAGTGAGTGAGTGAGTGAGTGAGTGAGTGAGTGAGTGAGTGAGTGAGTGAGTGAGTGAGTGAGTGAGTGAGTGAGTGAGTGAGTGAGTGAATCGAACCTGGGTCTTCGGCGTGATGAGGCAACGCTTTAACCAATAGGCTACCAGACCGCCCCACAGGACATAAACAGTCTAAAATAACATTACCCTTTGGGCCCCGTTTCACAAAGCGATCGTAGCAGTAAGGTGATCTTAACTCCCATACTTTAACACAGACTCAGGACTGTCTTAGGGCTTTGTGGAATGGGGCCCTTCCTCCTAACTGTCAGGATGTGTAAGTCAGTTTCAACACCCTTTGAACAGTGTTGTCAGCTTGAATGCAGGAGGACAGTTCAAAGTGATGCAGTTCATAGATATTTTGATAGATCACTTTGGTGGAGCTGAGGGGAGGTGAAATGGAGTTTAATGTACATTCAAGATTATTGCACTTATATAGCGACGTGCTTGTATTATGCACATATATGTGAGAGTAAAAGTGAGCATGTTCTTACGCGTCCAGACTATAGCCAGTGTTATTAGTGCACACCCACTGAGACACATTGCCACAGTTTAACACAGATACCCTCCTCACACACAATATACAAACATTACACTGAATCTGATACCAGTCCTTGCTTTATCCCCTTAATGCCAAGCAACAGGCAAGGTAACAATAAGTACAATCTTTTTACGTCTTTTGGTATGGTGTGGCCGGGCATCAAAGCACCAACCGTCCACACTCCAGGCAAATGGACCATGGAAGTGGTTTTATCACTTTGGTGAAACCATCAAGCATGGACATGTTGGTGACAAACCAAGACTGGTGATCAGCAGTATTACCTCTGTCTGATCCTCAATGCCATCTCCCTTGTTAGACACTTTGTCATTTCGACCTTTATTCTCCTGCTTTGACTGTCTCTCTTGCTCCTAGGGACAGACAACACAGACAAATGATTAACTGAAATAATCAAAGATTGATTGGAAGGTCCACAAAAAAAAATGGAACGCCAGTTTGATGAATCAAATCCATACAATATTGCCCCTCTATCAACCCTTGGATAGTTTTGTGTCCTACTTAGTACTTAGAAGTTGGGGAAAAAAGGGAGAAAGCGTGAGGTCCGTGTTTCTTTCAAAAAACAGAAAGCACAGAAGCAGGTACAGTCGTCTCTGCATAACACCCTTCACAATACTGCGGATTTGGTTAAACCGCGGGGGAATCAATGTCTCCTATCAATGTCAAGGTCTTTCCCACGTGATTGCATGTTTCTGTGAGAGTACAGTGATAGCCAAATAAAATAAATGTCCAACCAACAATGAACACCTGGTTTGTTTGTTAAAAACACATGACATATGATCTCAATATCTAATTAGGATCCGAATTCCGACATCGTCAATCCAACTTTATTTGTTAAACAAACATTTACCTTATGAACCTTTCATATGCTGTCACAGTATCTGTTGTTTGAGTAAATTAATGAGATCAGTGCTGTGAACACCCAAGTGAGTGAGTGAGTGAGTGAGTATGGTTTTACGCCGCTTTTAGCAATATTCCAGCAATATCACGGAGGGGGACACCAGAAATGGGCTTCACACATTGTACCCATGTCGGGAATCGAACCCGGGTCTTCGGCGTGACGAGCGAACGCTTTAACCACTAGGCTACCCGACCGCCCCTGTGAACACCCAAGAACAGGTTTAAAGCTCAAGGGTGCTGCGTGTGGTCATTGTGTTATATAGCGGCCTACCTATAGAATATAGTACCACAAACTTTTTTATCATGTCACATTTACCTATAACATAATTTGTAGTATTTTGTTCATGTTGTTGCCAGTTACAATGGGGAAACAATGACATCAGGGGGCATCGGGTGTGCATAAGCTCCTCTCAGTGATCTATCATCTCTACACACACTGTTATTGAATAAGCCCATATTGAGTGAGTGGGTGAGTGAGTGAGAGGTTTAACACTGCTTTGAACAGTTTTTCAGTTATGTTACAGTGAAAAAAACCCAAAGTGATGCAGATCTTAGATGTTCACCACTTCTGTGAAACCCATGACCACAGGTATAGTGCTGAGGAACCTAGAATCATAATTGGGGCGAATTAGGATCTAAACCCCTGATCATGGGTTTCTGGCATACCTAAGGGGGGCAACTCTGCACAGCAAGCTGCAGCACCTAAAGACAACTGGGCCACCTGTGCCCCTGTAGTTTAATTGAAAAACAGGTCACCTCCACAAAGCCATAAAATTAATGTAGCTATATTAACATGAAATGGAAATTTTCAATACCAATTTGAGAATTGTTTGTGACATTTGCAGCAGACTTGGGGCTGAATGTTGGCCTCTTAGGTCTAGATAAATTCCTGCAACGTACAAAGGATGAGCAAGTGTGTTGTGCTTTTAACAACTTTAGCAATATTCTAGACATATTATGGCAGGGGACCTCCCGAATGGGCTTCAATCCAACCCAAGTCTTCAACTTGACAACACCTTAAGCACTAGGGTAACCTACCACCATCCTTCTGCCAGTTAAAAACCCTTTCTTTTGATAAGGCCAGTTTGAATTTATTGTTAGATTACCAATCCGACCCGTCATTATCTTAAACCTCTTGCCTCACCTCATTTCATATGTGATTTAGTCGCGTCAGATTTCGTTTTCATTAAAGTTGTGCTAAAAGGGACAAATTCAGTTAGCGTGTTCTACATAAAGCCTTTCTCCTCTGTTTTCAGATTATCAAATGACAATCTCATTAAAAGAAGATCTTAGATCTTGCTACTGCAAAACAAAGACCTGAAGACATCCCATTACCGGTCACATTAGAATGACCAATCGGACCGTTGGTTACCAGATCAAGAAAGTGACAGTCGGAATGAGTTTTGTAATCATGTTACTTCAAGTGTGTGAGTTGGGTTTAATGCCGCTTTTAACAGTATTCCAGTTATATCGCGGCGTGACAGCTTAATGTAGGAGGAATGCCCGAAGTGATGCAGGTCTCAGACGTTTACCACTTTGGTGAAAGTCATAAGCACTGGTATGGTGCTGACAAACCTAGAAACATAATCGGGGCGAACCGGGATTCAAACCCAAAATCATAGGTTTCTGGTGTGCCTATGGGACGCAACTCCACAGCCTTAGACAACTGGGGCCCCCGTGGCCCCAATGTGACTTCGAAAACATTAACATAGGGTATTCCTAACAACAGTTACAGTTATGACAGATTCCATAAAAATAATTGTCTATCTGATGCTGGCTGCCGCAGCAGAGATGCATTGAAATTGCATCACAATGCCTTGCATCAGTTACGAGATGTCACAATCTAATGACATCACTAATCTCTGACGCTGAAGCACAAGACACCATAGACACTGTTAATTTCCGATTACAATCTAAAAATGTTGGAAATATGAATTTGGATGATAAATAGAACCTCACCCTCGTGTTATGATCAAGTTGTGTTGATATGTTTGACATAACAAGGCTGGTGAGATTCTCAATGAATCAGTGTCAGCATGCTTAGTGAAACCAGCCATGTGTGATAAGGGTTGAATACTACAGTCTACTTTAATGCAGCTGACAGATACTCAAACTGATGGTACTCACTGCTTGTGCCTCCATCCTGAAGAATATGACATTGAGCATCTGTGTGAGAGTGGCCTTGGCTGTGGTTTGGTTGACGAGGTTCTTGCTGGCCAGGTAGATATTGTAACATGTCCGCACCGTCTGCAGCACGGTGCCCTCGTGTATCTCACAGGTGTTGGATGTCACAACGGTCAATAAAGCCTGCATACAAGGGAAGTAATACAATACCAAACTAAGTCTTGCTTATATAACACATACATTCTCACACTGGGGTGAAGAGAGCGTAAATTCTACATCCTGTTTTGGTAAGTGTTGTCTTACCCAAGTTGAAATATTCTATCACAACACAGAGGCCTGTAAACAATCAAGTCTGGGTCAGGCCAACCAGTGGCTGATGGCATGAACAACATACCATGCTGTCTGGGTCAATGACACACAATCAGCCAGGTCACAGATGTAACCACCTTATCCTCATTAGTCAACCCTTACAACAATCATGAGTAATGACAACCAAGTCTGCCACAGATTGAGTGTGATCAAGTTGGTTTTATCCATTCATAAGCAATTTTGAACAGCGTTAGGAATTTGTACTTGTCCTGTAGGCCTTGCCAAACTGCCCAATAGTAAGGGCAGATATAAGGTATCATTAGGACTAGTAGAAATGTGCCATTTTTAAAGGGTTTTGTTGTTTGTTGTTATTATAAGGACTAGTGGACAAAAATGGCAGTTTCTACTGCTGTTGAAACAATAGCAATGATTGAACACAGAGTAACGGCTTCACAAATTTGTGTACGCTCCCAATGCCTGACACTCAGCTTACAAGACAATCATTGTACTTGTATGATACAATCATTAAGGACATTTAATAGTTCAAGGTAGTAAGAAACAGACCAACTAATTGAGATTAAAAAGGCCTCATGGTAGGAGTGAGTGATTGAGTTGGGTGTAATGCCATATTAAACAGCATTCCAGTTCTATCACTGCATGTCAGCTTAATGTGGGCTTAAAGCCCAAAGTGATGCAGGTGTCAGACATTTACCACTTAAAATAGTGAAAACCAAAGTATGGTATGTCCAAAGAATGCAACTCTGCACAGCAAATTACAACTTCACAGAGGACTTCTCCGAAGTCCGGAGTAGTAGGTCTAGCTTGACAAAGGTATGAGGATCTCTACCGAAACGGAGCTATAATGGTATATAATTAAGACGTTGTTATCCACAGTCGAGTCTGGACCTGACAATCCAATGATTGACATCATGAGCATCGATCTACGCAGTTAGGATATGGTGACATTTATCAATCAAGTCACCGATCCTGTTAGTCGCCTCTTACGACAAGCACAGTCACATGAGTTGCTGAAGACCTATTCTAAACAATAAAGCCTGCATACAAGCGAAGTAATACAATATCAAACTTAATCTTGCTTATATAACACATACATTCTCACACTGGGGTGAAGAGAGCGTAAATTCTACATCCTGTTTTGGTAAGTGTTGTCTTACCCAAGTTGAAAGGTGACTGCCAATGTAGCAAAATAAGATGTCAACTGATGTCATTTAAACAGAACTAAACCCCCACGGTGATTCCTGTATCATCAATACAAATAGATTATATCAGATAACATGTGAACACAGTTTGTTACCTACCTTTATTATTTGCAGCTGTACTCCCTCGTCTGTCTGTGGTCCGTGAAAACAGCCGCATATTGTTTCAACTATTCGGTCTATCAGTCTCTTGCCTGGAGTTGTAGTGTCGGGTACATTTCCAGTAAGGTGGCCATATGCTATCAGTTTCTGGAGGAGACAATACAGATAAAGCTCAAAAGCTCTCACACTGATCATTAACTGATCGTAATGGTTAAATTCATTATGAAGCAAGCATGACAAACTCATATCCCCCGCCAGTATGACATGTCCGGTTGTGTGCAAGGCATTAGCCCTCTGGATATGAGCACTACCACCATTTTAGTCAATGTCAAAGTCGTTGCAAGGGAAACTCAAAAAAATAAATTATTAAAAAATCCCAAACTATCAAAAGGCACCAGTTCAGCACTAGACCTATCTATGTGCCACGTTTGGTGAAGAACTATTGTAAGATTTTCAAGATCTGCTCCGGAAGCAGCACTACCACCATTTCAGTCAAAGTCAAAGTCGTTGTAATGGAAACTCGAAAAATAAATTATTAAAAAATCCCATACTATCAAAAGGCACCAGTTCACCACAAGACCTATCTATGTGCCAAGTTTGGTTAAACTATCTCTCATAGTTTTTGAGTTCTGCTCCGGAACAGCACCCATTCCACATTCCCCTTCCACCTCTTGGCGAGTGATAATAAGAAAAAAAGAAAGAAGAAGTCTTGGTTCTCAGGCAATGCCCACATCATCATAAAGTTCACTGCATGTTTCGTTTTTGTTTCCATTTTCAATTCTTTAGTGCATTGTGTTTAAGTATTAGGATTTTTATATTTTTTTGAAAATGGAAATAAAAAAAACAAAACGTGTGGCAGACTTTATGATGATGCGGGTGGTGCCTGAGAACCAGGACTTTTTTTTTAGCCTATTCACACCACTTTACTGTCCATCACATAACATTATTTAAGTGAGTGCGGCTTGAACTTTGACATTATATATATCCTGCAGCGTGTACAAACCAAGCTACCTGTGAGGCACTTCAAGGATCACAATCACAGAACATCTCATCCTACCGCTTATCTATAGATACACTGCTGTGTGAAGAGTGACTGAGTGAGTGAGTTGGGTTTAACACCGCTTTTAACAGTATTCCAGTTATATCACGGCATATCAGCTTAATGTGGGAGGAAAGCCTGAAGTGATGCAGGTCTCGGACGTTTACCACTTCGGTGAAACCCACGAGCATGGGTATGGTGCTGACAAACCTAGAAACATAATCGGGCTGAACTGGGATTCGAACCCACAATCATAGGTTTCTGGCGTGCCCAAGGGACGCAACTCTGCACAGCGAATCGCAGCGCCTTCAATGACTGGGCCACCCGTGACCCCTGCTGTGTGAGAGGCATATTTCAAACAACATCTCTTGCCCAAGGAGAGGGTCACCACATGAGCTTACATGTGCTTCAGTACGGGTCAGGGGCAGCTGTATTTTGTATTATGTCTGAAGATAAGGCAAGTGGACAAGAAATTACAGGACATGGCCTGGGACACATAGCGAGATGCAAACTAGAAGGTAACCTATTTGCCATGTAAATTTAGTGATAAAAAGAGTCTTAAAACTGAATAGAATTCTGTATGAGTTGAAGAATAGGAAACAATTTTACCGGTACTCCCTTTCTCAAAATTACAAATTTACAGAATATAAATTGTGGCGGAATATACGAGCTTCAGTTATCATGGTTATATGCATAGGCAAAAAGAAACCTTTGAGTACAGCGGAAGCAGTGTTCGAAATAAAGGACTGCCCATCGGCCTGTTGCAGGTAGGTCTCGTGTAGTTGCAAATTTGCATAGGTCCTCATGGCCTGCAGTAAATATACGTGCCAATTTCTTTGTCTCAGTAATCTACGGTCTTTTAAATGAGGGTCCAAAGTGTATTAGTCAGGGTCAGCATCTCTAAAGTCTGTGGCAATTGTTCTTATTTCTAACACTGAGTGAAAGAGTTATGCATATCAACATGAAACACACAAAGTTATCTATATAATATATTTTACATAATCTAATCATGGCAGAGTTTCAAGAACTCTCAAGTTTCATAAACCAAATAAACACACAAACCTGAAGACAGTCCAGAGCTGCATTCACAATCCGGGGACATTTTGACTGACATGCTAGCTCAAATGGAAGAAAGTACTTGTCTGCTTCCACAAACCCAGCCTTTTTTGGCATCGGCAGGGCTGACGAGGATGTGTTCTCCACACTGCAGATGAAAACATCATTGATGATACATATCAAGACCAGAACAGTTCCCAACAGTAACCAGTTCTGTTGCAAGCACAAACAAGTTTCAGTTTTCTTAACCAGTTAAACTGGATGTTATCATTTTATTTCCTAAAGTTATACTGCTGCAACATTTCATATGAACCTCAAATATTAGTATTCTAGTTAAAATCCTAGTCAGAGGCAATAACATGGATTAAATCACTTATAAGAAAATCTGACATGTCTAACATAAACAGAACAACATAAAAAGTAATCATTCACACACATTTATTACTGATTAGTGACCATGTTCACAAAAACTTCAAACTAATTTTCTTCAATGCTTTTATGATAAACTTTATTAATCACATGACTATGACATGATGAACATGATGAATCTGAAAAAAATATTCCCCAAACTGAAGGCAGAAAGATAGCCAAATTGATGAAGATAAAAGCCGGCAGTCAAAACTAATCACTCCACAATCCTGAATAGACGCAAGCTGTATCACATAGATACATGTCACCATGGACCGATATTCGTCGACATAAAGAAACCTATGTGATTACCACTAAGTACTTATGACTTGTTCCGGCTCATATCTTTTCCAATCAATACCAGAAATTGGCAAAAAAAGGAAAACTTGACAGTGTTGTCAACATGCATCTGAGACTATAGGCAGCTGTAAACATGTTGCCAATAAACCATTATGCCAAGTCTTATACTCATTCATGCTCCTTCATGCTCCTTCAAAACGCTGTTCCCTGCTTATGAGGATCCACATGGTTAAGTATGTTTATATTTATTCCCAGGAGTCACAGATATAGTAAGAAATAACTTAAACAGATAAAATATAGATTCAGAGAGACAAAACTTACTTTTTCCTACGAAAAGTTCTGAAATTTGAAATCCTTCTAAGTACATGTGTACTCCTGTTGTATACCAAAGTGTCATGATCACAGAATATCTGCAAAATGTTTATTCATTATATCATTTGGCAAGCTCCTTTTGGTAATATCTTGCTCCTTTTGGTAATATCTTGCTCCTAATGGTAATATCTTGCTCCCTGCACCATCATCCTCAATTATCCAGGATACAAGTTGTACTGAACTTGACTTACGGTATGCATGTTGTGTCAAATACAACAAAAATGTCTTGCAATATATCGACTTCCCTCCCCCGTCTCAGTACTACAATGAAATATATTGAGGGCTCGCTCGGATGAGGCAGCAATATTGAATGTAAATCTTTGCTGTTCCCGCTCAGAAGAAGCATGTTGATTGCAAGCTCATAAAAGAGATATCCTTTTGGTGTTAGTGATAAGAGCGCTTAGGTGAAAAGGTATTTAACGTCGCTTCCAAGATTATTGCACTTACATACCCGTAGCGAAATGCATTCATGTGTGTGTTTGTGGCTGCTTGTACTAGTCCGGACTGATGGTGATTTATAGTGCCCACTGAGATACCATGCCACAGTTTAACATGAATACCCTGATCAGACTCTGAGCCGACCAGTCCTTGTTTTAGCCTCTGAATGCCGAGTGCCAGACAGGATAACAACAAGTGTGATCTTTTAACGTCTTTTGGTATGACGCAGCCAGGGATCATACCCCAGACCTTCCGCTCTCCAGGCAGACGCTCTACCACCGGACAACGGAGGTGGTCCTAGTGATAAGTGGGATGGTGATGGTGATGTTACTTCAGAAACATAACCATGGGTTCAGCTTATTAATCATAATGGATAGAGATTTAATACACTGTCGAGGATGCTGCCCAGTGCCCACTATACCATCTATACTGGGAGAGTAACAAAGGTGCCACTCATTGGGCATGTTAGGACTAGGCTTGATTAGTAACATATTGTATGCATACTGATGATTGTTTAACACCGCACTCAGAAATATTTCAGCTACATGACTGAGGTCTGTAAATAATTGAATGTGGACCAGACAATCCAGAGATTGACATTATGAGCATCTATCTACCCAATTGGGATATGATGACATGCATCTGGATAGCCAGCAAGCCTGACCCCACCAGATCTTCTTACAACAAGCATGGATTGCTGGAGACCGATTATAACCAGTATCTTCACGGTTAACTGATGAGTCAGTGTAGTGGCAAGTGAATGTTTTGACAGATATCGTTTAGGTCTACATAGTTAGTATATAGTATTTTCTTTCAATGTTACATCTTATTTATTCATAACTGAAATGGGACTTGATAATTCTGATTGCACTCTTTATTAACACTGAGTCTTATATCTATATTAATTTCATACCAATGAAGTGGGTCCCTTGAGCAAGGATAGAAATTAGCACTAACAGTAGCTATAAGCAATAAGGGGTCTAGTACAATCTGTGGAATTTTAAGGGTTTTGCTGAATGTCGTCTTTATTTGACTAGTATACTTTCATGGTTAATTTCTATAATTGAAGAGCTGACAAATATGTTGAAAGACCAGCTTTTTAAATTTTAACTTAAGTGAGCATAGGTGACTGTCAAGTAAATGATTTTTGTGAAGTTGAGTTTGGACTCATATTACTGGGATATGTATGACATTACTTTCTTTGGATGCCTCCGTCTGCAACTACAGCCACAAGAGAAGCCAAAGTCTATCAAAATTATGTTTTGCCTTGTACGCTCAGCATATAATTATCCATATAATAACAATGAAATGTTCTGAGAAAGATGCTACTGCTTAATTTTGACAGTAGCAAAAACATTATTACCAGGTAAATTCTGATATAGTTTGAAGTAATTCCTTTCATGTGATCAAATCAGAATAACTAAGTAATCTCATGGAACTCACCTCTGGTCTTTCTGGTCATTTTTTAATTCCTCTGAAAAACAATATAAAAATGGTCATGGTCAAGAATTGATCAACAAGGTTATTTGTGAATTACATCCAATAAACCATTAAATATAACTCATTGTAGGCTTTGGGACAGGCACAAATTCAAGGAACAGAAGCGAAGGTCAGGACAGTTTACAATGCCCAATACTGTACCATAGTGTATGTAACATCAATTTACTATGACAATATTTCATATGTTGTTCGATAAAATTTTACGTAATGCTGTACTTCGGAAATATAAATACACATACAGTGTGAGTGTAAACTGGTGATATACGGGTGTTATGACACAACGCAGTGTTTTTTGTAATGAAACCAACGAGCCACGGTTCGTCGCACACTGACAGGTGTTGACAAATGTCACAGACAGATATATACATCTGAGGCTCTTCCGCATTCGTGTGGCGTTTACATTCACTACCATTTGTGTTTCATGTCCTCCAATCATCCGAAGACATGCACCATAAAGCAATAATAGTAAGAAATGGGTTAACATGGATTATTCGATGGACGACAGCGATATCTGTCATTTACATTTGACAAATATGCACAAAAACTCACCAAGTGCCACCTCACAAGCCCGTTTTAGTTGAGAATGATGAGCCTTTCTAATTTCTTTGTCAGTTAGAATCTTCTCAAGTGCACGAGTCAAAAACATATTGTAAGCTTCCAAATACCGCCTTTATTACATCAAACGGCACACATGAGCGTGTATCATTTTCTAATGCCGGTCACACCTCTAAACAACTTTCACGTAGGACTAATCGTCATCCGCCATGCTGGAGATCACGTGACCTGTGTACAACAATATTTTCCATTTTTTAATACTTTTTTAACTTTTATAATTTTCATAAGATTTATGTGAACAAGCTATGATTAATAATACCCGTATGATAATTTTACAATAAAGTCGGGTAGGTTTTTTTGACCGAGACTACCACTATTGCTGCTGAATAGTCGAAGGAAAATGGATTCTAAAAATGCACAGAAAAGTTGGGAACTCAGCAATAGCATCGAAAGTGTTAATAGCACAGATGATATCTACCGTTATGACAACAAACAGCAACAAGATATATTAACAGCAAAACCTTGGGAAAGAGAGTAAGTATGGGCTACGAACAGATACCGTAGATAAGAAAGAATGCGCAGTTTTGTAGTCCTTCGAACTTCCCTATATGTTCTGTTTTCGATCACCGGATGGCTACATAATTGTGATGAATGTGATTATAGTTTACTGTCAGCATAATCAAAGCATGAAAGAATGAGTGGTCATTACAGGTGGAGACCATGGGGATGATTCATGCAGACATATATAAACAAGATCTTGGTTCTTTGGTTGTGGACATGTTAAAATTTCAAGATGAACTTTCATAATTATTATGTATGCCGAATCATATTTTTATAAGGTAATTTCATTATCCGTGTAATATGACGAAAATAACCGAGTTCTGATTGCCAAAAAAGTAAAGCTGTGCTATTTTGTGGATGTTTTGTTCATCTTGTCGTTTCTGAGTGCCTTGGCATCAACACACGAAAAGGGACGGTCGGGTAGCCCAGTGGTTAAAGCGTTCGCTCGTCAAACTGAAGGCCCGGGTTCGATTCCAGACATGCGTACAATGGGTGAAGCCCATTTCTGGTGTCCCCCACCGTGATATTGCTGGAATATTGCTGAAAGCGGCGTAAAACCATACTCACTGACTCAGCACACGAGGATGTCTGATCTTGATCATGTTGATGCAGAGAGGTATCATATTGGAATAATAAATTTTATCTGATTTTAATGAGATTATGATTAACTACACACAGGGTACACATCAGGCAGAGCAGTTTCCACAAGATCTTATGGCATAGTGGACTAGTTGAAGCTATAATGCTTATACCTCATCATGCTCATCAGCAGCTGCTTTATACATGTTATGTGTTATGTATAATGCTATGGAGTACACATCAGTAGTCAGTAAAATTTGGGGCCTTTAGTATGTGTAGTCATGAGATATATTTTTTTCAGCTGTCAGTTAAAAAACACTCGAAATAGAGAACAAGTAGGGAAACATGGTATCAAATGGTTTTGCTTTTCTTTCATTGCTGCAACTTGTGTTTTGAAAATAGCAAACATTGACTGGTGTTGTTGTGTCATTAGATTTAGTTATATATGACATTTACTAAATTTAAGCATGATTATGATAAACAGTAAAGTGATCAATTACGCTAAGGCACTGGGGGTGGGGAGGAGGGGGTCAGGAAAGTATGATTCAGTCCTAAGACCAATCACACTGGCCCACCCACCCCATAATAAATGATCAGCCCCTAAGCGCTTTTTCTGGGCATTTTACGCTTATCTTTAACGATAAGTAAAATGACTCATCTTACGTCCACTAAAGTGTATTTTTAGTTGTTTTGCGCAAAACAGTATACCCCATCAGGACACTCTTGTGTATTTCTTTCGCTCTTTTGTCATGTTTGTTGACTGTGGCAAATAATGGGCTACCGTACAGTGTCCCAAGCATGCCAACTGTGGTGTAAATGTGCAAACCTCACTACCCTCCACATGAAGATTTCTAACCGTTTGTGGATTCAATGTTGTAATCAGTCCCCAAAACTCCATGGTTATTGTAAGAGCTGGCTAACAATCACGATCAGGTGTTCACCTACTAGACCTCTCCTGGCTGGCAACATGTGTCACATGTCACTTCAAAACAGTCATATTGCATGTACATAAGACCTTGCATATTCTCTGAAACCCTGGAATAATTATGAAACTTTAAAGATGATTTCTTGTTTGAAACAAAACACAGTGAGGGTGTTAAGAAACTCTGAAATGGACAGTCTGTACTGATTGTATTTCATATGAGAATAGAAATGCCCTTTATCATGATTAAATATTTAAATATGATACACATGTACAATTCAACTGGTTTTAGAGATTGAAACAGACATAAATTTGTTTCCCATGGAACTCAGCAAGCACACAGCACTCATTATTTGCATCCTTTCTAAATTTCTATGTGTATAGGATGAAATAGATTTCTTTCCGACAAAAAAAGTATGAAAGTGCTTGCTATGCAGCCACTTATCTGAAGCCAGGGTCTGGTAAAATGTCTTTCTCGCATGAAAATTCATCCAACGTCCATATACTGACATAAGTAAAAATTTAAAATCAGCTGAAAATTGTGCCAAAAGCAGGGTTAGAACAGATTTGTCCACTAGTCCTTATAATGATAACATATAGCAAAACCCTTAAAATGGGCCAATTTCTACTTGTCCTTAGGATACCTTTACTATTGGGCAGTTTGGTAAGGACTACAGGACTAGTGCCAATTTCTAACGCTGCAAAAGGAATATGGACAAGTAGTAGAAGTAGACATCAATTTGGCACAGCTAAGCAATGAACATTGTTTTTCCAGTCCCCACTATTTCAAGCACATCAAGATCTCTGCTCTGGCACTGCTGAAGATGGTGATGCATGCAAGGTCAGGGGGAAATCTGGAAGTGATGGGGCTGCTCCTAGGGAAAACTGATGGCAACACAATGATTGTCATGGATGGTGTAGCTCTCCCGGTGGAAGGAACTGAGACTAGGGTGAATGCTCAGGCTCAGGCGTATGAATACATGGCTGCTTACACTGAGGCTGCCAAACAGGTACATAAGAGCTAAAACAATTGGGGGTGAAAAAAATCCTATTTCAGCCCATCCAAAAATTGGGGTAGGTATGTCAACCTTGGGGTTTGTGTTTTAAAACATTTGTCTTTCTTCCAGAAACAGTAATTAGTGGTAATTTGCAGTATTTCGGTAAAAACATGATTTCAAATAAAGATGAGGACTGGTTTGTCTATAGTGAAGTGCATCTCATTGATGCTAGATACATAAGATACATCCCAGATTGGGATGGGATGAAAGTTTGATGGTGGAACTTCAGGAAAAAGGATTAGGATCATGGGCTCTTAATTAAGGGTGATTCAGCATGTTCAGGAAACTAGAAACCAACATGTCTTTTGTTTTTATTTACCTAATGGGTAATGATTGAAAATGCTTATTTTGAGACCCATTCCATGTTTGAGTTTGGCTATTAATAAAACTACCCAGGGTATAGAAAAATGTATTTTTGTGTTGAGAATCCTTTTCATATGATATGTTATATATTTATGTTGCCACTGTGCCCTAGGTGTGTATGGGAGTGTGAGTCATCTAGCTCTTACCATTGTGTCCTTGTACTTTCTATCCAGGTTGCCAGACTTGAGAATGCCATAGGCTGGTACCACAGTCACCCTGGTTACGGCTGCTGGTTGTCTGGTATTGATGTCAGCACTCAGATGTTGAACCAGCAGTTCCAGGAACCGTTTGTAGCCATTGTGGTCAGTATTCAGGACAAAATTCTGTGCTCAGAATTACACTGTTATTTCAGAATTTCCTTAAATGAGAAAAACTTTACTTGATGGGAACAATGATCAAGGGAGTGTCTATTGTATCCCATTGTGTAAAAGCTGACCATGCTGACGACTGTCCTATATTGAGAGGACATTTTTGCAACACATGATTTAATATACGATCGTCATACTTTCAGAAAAGTTAACATTATAAGATATATATAGCATCTTGACATGATAAAATACATCATGTACATGTAGATTGTTTTTTCATCATCATTATAATCATGATAATAAAGCAATGTATATCAATTTGATATAGCATGTGTCTTGTAACATTTATTATTTTTAACATGTTTATTAAGATGTATTTGGAAAATAAATAATAATAAATTAGAAAGTGATATTTATGCTGGTAACATGTATATTTTGTTTATTACTTTTTTTGAATTTTTAGTGGTTGTGTTTGTTTCGTGGAATGATATGGATTGTAGCAGTAGAGTTTTATTCCAACACTTACAGAGATAGTTTTGTTGTAGATCGACCCTGTGAGAACTATATCTGCAGGTAAAGTGAACATAGGAGCATTCAGGACATACCCCAAGGTAAGTGGAGTCTTTGTACTTCTTCTTAAAATTGTGTGGCTTGTCGGCTGAGGTCAAGGTGGAAAAGAAATAAGTACAAGTTTTAGTCTGTTTTCATTCGTACAATTGGGTATCTCATACCTCTAGTCGCACGTTAAAAGGAAGCTAGAAGCTGGAATGTAAACAATAAACTTGTTTCCGTCCGGTTGCGCACGCACCTCCCGATGACATGCCACAAATCTCTCAGCGCGCCTCCGAGCTGGTCGCTCGAGAAGGACTTTCGCGATAGACTGCTAGTTTGTATTCTACTAGTCCGTATCGTGTGTCTACAGTTGTTGTTCTAATACAGTAATAATACTATGTCTTACCTGTAGACTCCTGGAATGTAATCATTGGTAATCCATTGTTTGGGTTCAACACGTGTTTCACTTGATTATACACGTGGCAACATGTCGGGCATTTGTGCCTCGTGTCAAGGACAACTGTCTAAAGTAGATCCTCACAAGTATTGTCCTTCCTGCATAAATAAGGACGGGCTTTCAACGTGTTCGTGGAATAAACGTTGTTAAGAATGTGAGCATTTGTCTTCTATCAACTTTAACTTGTATCTTCGTGCGTTGGCGAAGCGGGCTACTGACCAGCGCTACAGGCAGAGGAGGTCATCGGATGGATCCTTGGACTCTGCACCCCCTACATCTGGCCCTGGGGGTGGCGCGTCGGCCACACCCAAGAAATCAGTTGAAAAAGACCCGCCTCAGTCAACTTATGTTTTTTGACAAGACACGGGACCGTTCGCCTGCTGATGATACTACCCGCACGACTGATCTTCGTCAATCGGTTGATCGAGAGCGTCACTCAGCCACCCCCGTTACGACGGGACCGGGTGGTGACGAGGACCACGAGGGGACTACGGTCCCCAGTCGGTCCGTCTCTCGTCCTACCAACGACGATAGGAACGTCGTGCGGGTCGACAGTGAACACAGATCCCTCTCTAGAAGTCGTTCCCGTTCACGGGACGACAGGTCGAGGGCCTCGTCGAGTGACAGTAAACGACACGAGGACATTTGTCGCCTTCGAGGTCGTCGGGAGTTCGATTCGGACGATAACTACGATGGGGATCGTAGTACTTCTACAGTTAGAGATCGTAGCCCTCGTCCCCACGGGGACGTGCGACGCCTTCGAAGGGAGTTTTTGGGAGATCAGCGTCGTAGAGATAATGATCGATCATGACCCTCGTCTCACTTTCATATCGACCCGGCTTTGATAGGCCAGATGACGGCGGCGGTACTCGCCTTGACGGCGTCGACCGAGAAGGGTTCATCTACGTCGGAGGTCCATGGACAATCGTCCTGTACACCGGTTCCTTCATCTACGCCTACACAATCGATGTCGACGATGGATTGTGACAACAGCGTCGGAGAGATAATGACCGATCGACACCCTTGTCTCACTTTCATATCGCCCTAGCTTTGATAGCCCAGATCACGATGGCGGTACTCACCTCCAGGGCGTCGACCAAGAAGGATTCAACTACGTCAGAGGTCCATGGAACATCGACCAATACACCAGTACCTTCATCTACATCTACACAATCGACGTCAACGATGGATTGTGACGACAGCCTGGCTATGGCTTGGCTATCTCACTTTTCTGCCTGAGTTATCAAAAGATGATGACAAACCGACGTGTGCTGGTTTAAAGGTTGGAGATACGCCGCAGTCTCTTCAGTCTTCTCCTCCCAATGTCTTCAGAGCCATGGTTCACGATATGGACCAGAACTTGCCTCTGCTCTGCCGGGGCAGAGTTTCAGCAAACCACCTGTTCGATCGCATTACCCGATCTATGGCATGCCGTTTTCGTCACCCATGAGTAGGGACTTGGATTGGGGGCTACTCTTCAAGAAACCAGCGCCCTCCAAGATTCTTGTAGTAGACAGGCATTGGGGTTCCATGGACACTGCTGTTCGTCTCCAGCTACAACCGCTTGCTATGCTGTCGACAGCGAGCCGGCGGGGGAGGTAATGAGGTCCCCATTCCCCGCCGTCACCGTCGTCGGAGCCTACTACCTTTAGAAGCTACCGGTAGGGGGAAGACTTCATCACACGGATCATGAAGACGGTCGTAGAATGGCTCCGTCGGCAGGCGATCAGGGTCGCCTTCTACCTAGACGAGCCGTCTCCTACGGGCGACAGGCTCACTAAAATACCGGAATTGCAGAAAATTCTACGTGCCTTCATGGTTGAAGATGAGTCACATTAATTCCGCCTGCCGGCCTGGGACCTCGATATCGTTCTGCGCTACCTGTCTAGTTAGACTTACGAGCCTCTCGATCAGGTCGCCTTCGACATTGTCTCCGACTAGAAGTACTGCTCGTATTTTTTAGTTACCTTGTATACTGCGAGTTGCTCTGTAACTAAATTATGCACCGACCACACTTCGATCGCATTTCATCTGTCGTGTGCAGTTGTCATGTCGCATCGATAATTTGTTGTGTGTCGAAGAGCATTAACCATGCTATTTTTCGTTACCTTTGATACGACGAGTCGTTCTGAACCACTTTATATACCGTCCACACTTCGATCGCAATTCAACTGTCGTGTGCAGTTGTCCTGTCGCTTCGATAGTTACTTGTGGGTCGAAGAGCATTAAACATGCTGTTTTAGTTACCTTGTATACTGCGAGTTGCTCTGTAACTAAATTATGCGCCGACCACACTTCGATCGCAATTCATCTGACGTGTGCAGTTGTCATGTCGCATCGATAATTTGTTGTGTGTCGAAGAGCATCAACCATGCTATTTTTCGTTACCTTGGATACGACGAGTCGTTCTGAACCACTTTATATACCGTCCACACTTCGATCGCAATTCAACTGTCGTGTGCAGTTGTCCTGTCGCTTCGATAGTTACTTGTGGGTCGAAGAGCATTAAACATGCTGTTTTAGTTACCTTGTATACTGCGAGTTGCTCTGTAACTAAATTATGCGCCGACCACACTTCGATCGCAATTCATCTGACGTGTGCAGTTGTCATGTCGCATCGATAATTTGTTGTGTGTCGAAGAGCATTAACCATGCTATTTTTCGTTACCTTGGATACGACGAGTCGTTCTGAACCACTTTATATACCGTCCACACTTCGATCGCAATTCAACTGTCGTGTGCAGTTGTCCTGTCGCTTCGATAGTTACTTGTGGGTCGAAGAGCATTAAACATGCTGTTTTAGTTACCTTGTATACTGCGAGTTGCTCTGTAACTAAACTATACGTCGACCGCTTCGATCGCAGTTCAACTGACGTGTGCAGTTGTCCTGTCGCATCGATAATTAGTAGTGTGTCGAAGAGCATTAAACATGCTGTTTTAGTTACCTTGCCTACGACGAGTCGTTCTGTAACTACATTATAAGCCGACCACGTTTCGATCGCACCTCAACTGTCGTGTGCAGTTGTCCTGTCGCATCGATACTTACTTGTGGGTCGAAGAGCATTAAACATGCAGTTTTAGTTACCTTGGATACGACAAGTCGTTCTGAAACTAAATTATATGCCGTCCACACTTCGATTGCAATTCAACTGTCCTGTGCAGTTGCCTTGTCGCATTGATACTTACTTGTGGGTCGAAGAGCATTAAAGATGCTGTTTAGTTACCTTGTATACTGCGAGTTGCTCTGTAACTAAACTATACGTCGACCACTTCGATCGCCGTTCAACTGACGCGTGCAGTTGTCCTGTCGCATCGATAATTAGTTGTGTGTCGATGAGCATTAACCATGTTGTGCGTTCGTGATAAACAATTTGTCTCGTCCGTGCATCTGGTCGAATGTTCTATTGTCACTACGGGGGTGAGGAACTTGGTACATTCGACGTGCAAGAGGTCACTTCCGGATTACTTTCCAGACCCTCCTTCCAGTGTTCCGTCGAATTCTACCCAATTGTACGACTGAAAACAGACTAAAACATGGGTTTTTCAGATTAAAAACGATGTTTTATTGGTCTGTTTTCAGTCGTACGTTCCCACCCAGCCATCCCCACTGGGAAGTAATCCAGTCCAGTCCTGCTTGATGGCTTATTCTTCGAGATTTGTTGCATGTCATCGGGAGGTGCGTGCGCAACCGGACGGAAACAAGTTTATTGTTTACATTCCAGCTTCTAGCTTCCTTTTAACGTGCGACTAGAGGTATGAGATACCCAATTGTACGACTGAAAACAGACCAATAAAACATCGTTTTTAATCTGAAAAACCCATTTTTGATGAATGTTATGTCATTTTTGTTTTATCTCATCTCCCTGAGGCAAGGGCGTTAAATCACTATAAAAGTCCAGTTTCCATCCTTGCCGAACTAGGATGGAATTTCAAGGCTCAATCGTAGCGCCACCCTTCCATGTAACTCCTTTTGACCAATCAGATTCCACCTCTCATATCACTTGCAAATGCGTCAAACATGATGGCAGACCAGTCATGACGATCTCATCGATAATCAAGATCTAATTTTTTAACTTATCCTGCATTACTCCGTATTGCATTTACTGCTATGTTTGACAGAGAGACGAACTGTGTGAGATCCAGCTGCTGAAGAAAGTTGTCCCAACCAGCCCAGGAGGCAGCGCCCTCTCACAGTCGGCACGTGACCCGGAAGTCATGACGTCACACAAAAAGACATAACTGCTTTGTCACCTCCACGGACGGACGTACTTTGTATCCCTTGTGGAAATTAAAGCTTATTATTTGTTTTTTATATTTTGCGTGTTTCTACATTCATTATATGCTGCTACATTGTTACCTGTTATGGGCCGTGACCTTAGGGTCTTCCCATTCGTAAATTGTAACGTTTATCGCTCGTCTGTGGCTCACGTCACAGTAATTTACGGGCGCAATGTTGTTCCCGCCATTTTGTTTTCTTTCCCGCCATTTTGAATTCTCTCTTTGGCTTGGGTAATACATTACATTTATGTATGTTGTTTTGGTGTGCTTAAAGCCTTGCCTTTTCGCTACCTCTAAGCGTAATTGTTTCTTCTCATAAACTTC